TGCGTGCTGAGCCGTTCGCCTGCTCGTTAAAGTTTTCGCCCGCAATGGCTATGTTAATTTTCTGCTGTGCAGGTGTAAGAGGGGCGTGGCACAATGGCAATGCGGCAAGCCATAAGCCAACAAAGTAAAGACGAGACATTTTTCGTGCAAACACCTTAGCACACACGCACGCACAGCAGGTAAAATGGAAAATCATTTCTATTTTTGAAGAGCTGCCAAATATGAGTTTCCCGCCAACTGTTCATATGTCTGGCGTCCTTCTGTCTGCCCTCTGTCTCCGCTTTAAGGTCTCAAGTGCGACAAAGGCAACCACAACGATAATTATTATTATGCATTATGAAAGGCAGCAATGCGAAAAGTTTCGCTTGAACAAGTGCGAGACCCAATTCCTTCTATGAAATTGTGAATTGTTAATGGGAATCGTTACACTTGCAGTTGGCCAAGACGAACGGCATTAATATTTATGAGTGCCACACATAGCATTATAACCGCCATAAATACCAAATTGGAAAATTTAAGGCTTGCAGACTAAAAGGCTAAATTGCAATTGGCTCAAATGCGTTTCAACTGATTGCAGACACGTTAGGAGAAGGAAGTTTAGGAAGGAAGAGTTATGGAAATTCGAGAGGTTATTCAATCATCTAGCAGATCTCTGAGCAGCAATATCTATCCGCCCGGCCTCTCGAGCCATACTTTAACCAACTCTATTTCAGTTCTTAGCACCTTAAGCGCACGCTAACTTAAGTAAACGGGCTTTGCGTAGCCCCCACAGGTATGCCATACTTCTTTATGGCATCTTGCCTGCAATACGCGCTGTTGAGAATGCATAAACTTCATTCCAATAAGCTCAGCAAATAAATAATCAAAGTAAGCTCACGAAAGTATGCTACACTTTTTTGTGTTAGCGTCTGGCGTTTGAGAGCTTCAAGTTGCCCAACTAAGTATGCTACATTTTTCTTGCTGCTCTCTTTCATTAAGCTCAAATAATGTGACTTGTTTGACTTGTTTTAAAACTGAATTAGACTTCATTCTGTTTCCTTGCGGCTATGGCCATTAAGCGTCTGCCTGAATCTATATAAAACTAAAAAGAAGATACAAATAGTTTGTAGTTTCCGGCTTCATAATTTGTTTGGTTTTGTGCGTCGCTTGCGTTTGTTTCGTTTCGGTTCGCTTTTCAACTTAATTAAGAAATCCAATTAACATCATTGGCATTAGATGTTCCAGAATATGCGCAATTTATTTTATTTTATGTTGCTCACACACACACTCACACGCATGGCTGTCTGTGTGTGTGTGTATTGGCTTGTGTGCATATGTAGACAGAAGCAGGATCTGTGTCGCCGTTGCCGCCATTGATAACGCCTTCCAGTTTGTCATTGCGTGTGGCCCAATGTTGGCGTGTATGTGTGTCTGTCTGTTTGTGTGACACGCAAAGTTCAAAACATTAACAAGAATGACAAACAACTCGGCAATAGCAACAGCAGCTGCTTTTCCTGTTTGCCCATTCAATTTCAATGTGGTTGTGGGCGTGGCAGCAACACACCCACACAGCTGATCAGCTTTATGTTTATGCATTAAGAGAGACAAAGAGAGAGCGCGCAAATAGAAATACGCCCATCACTGAACATAGTAGCTGGCAACAACAAGAGGAGACACGCGGCAATGGCAAAACGCCCATCACTAAGCGCACTGTAATAACAGCAACAACAGCTACAGTCACCATAAGCCTGTCACTGCATTGAGCTGTGAGCTTAACTCTGCCATTTCAACTCAACTCAAGCGAGCTTAACTCATCGCATAGCCAAAGTCAAAGTCAAACTTAGCACAGCTTTGCTTGCAGCTCTCTGACACTCGCACTCTTTCGTTGTGCCGCTCTCTTGCTATTATTAGCATAAGCAGTTACACCAATAACAACAATAGCAGCAGTGACTAGAGCCTACACATTAAAGCAAATCTACTTAGCATTAAACCAATTCTACTTAGTTAAAGGGGGCAAGAAAGGGACGATTCACACAGCTTTTGTGAGCATTTTCATTAGAGCGCACAAAATGCGAAAGCCAAACTGATTAAGGCCTCAATTCAAAGACAGCATTTTCCCCACTCATATATGTGCCATGTAAGTGCACAAGAGCGAGACGAAAGAACATAAGTATACACGCACACTCCAATGTACCTGCTTATACGAGTGCCTGTGTGTGCGTGTGCGTTCGTATGTGTTAATATGCAGATTAGAGATGGACGCAAGCAAAGGCTTTTATCGCAGCCCTTTGAGCATCAGACTAAATAAGACGTGCTTGGACCTCAAATTCAAAGCTGCGACGCAGGCAAAAAGAAACACAAAAACAAAATTGCAACAATTAGCAAGGCAACTATCGATAGAAGGGAAATTATATATTTATATATAAATATATATATAAATATGTATATATAGAATATGGATAATATGGAGTATATGTATATATATATATATATATATATATAAATATATAAATGTAAATCAAAATAAATAATATATATAGCACGACAGCCTTTGGCTTTGCCTTACATTGACTGCTTTACGGCTTCTGTCGTCGTTCGGCAATGGGTCGCGCGCCCATCTCTAAGGCAGATGAACTGTAACAGTTAGAGAGACAAATAAAGGCGGCAGCGGGTAGCGGCGCACGCGGCAGAGTAAGAGTAAAAGCAAAAGCAAAGCTCAAGCATCAGCACACAGGCACGTAACGGGATTTGCAGCGCTGTGAGGTTCTGGTGGATTTTATAAACAAATATTTGGATTTAACGGCAAAATGCGAGCGTGCGTCTATGCGAGCGCGCATTATGCTTAATTTAAAGAAAATTTGTTGTACGCCTAAGTACCACACACTTTCTTCCTCTCCCTCCTTCTCTGCCTCTCTCTCTCTCTCTCTCTCTCTCTCTTATATGTGTTGGTGCGTGCGTATCTTAGCATTTACTTAGTTACAGTTAAACTAGAGCTCACTCGCTCGTGCTTAGTCCAACGAAATGAAAATAAATAAATAAATAAGAGCAGCAGCGGCACAAAAAAAAGACCAGAAAACCGCACCCAAGTTGAGATTACTTATCTTTAGTTTTTCATTTAAATATGAAGAGCCAAGTGCCCGTTACTCAGCGTGTGTGTGTGGCCTAAGTGTGTGTCTGTGTGTGGGTATGGTGTACTTTCATTTATTTGGCTGCTTTTGGTTTTCTTTCTACTTTTACTTTATGGTTTTTATTTTCCTCTTTCTGTTATTTTTTTTAACGTTTTAGCGCTTTTTCTTCTTCTTCCTTACACACAGAAATTCTTTACATACTTTGCCGTATTTTGGTTTTTTTTTCGTTTTGGTGCCAAGCCTCCGTCAGCCTTCAGCATGGCCACGCCCAGCCCACACACTGAGCAGCGCACTTGTGCGCCTTTTTATGTGCGATTTAGTATTTTAGTATTTTCTGATTCTCCGCCCAACACATACACACACACATATATACATGTATTTTTATATGTATGTAAATATTTATATGTATACATATATATGGATAGCTTAACTGTATATTTGGTGCTTTCAAGTCCGGTTTTAGTTGGGCTACCAAATAATTGAATTTAGAGAGACCCAGCTGGACAAGAAAACCAGATACGTTTATACAAACATGCAAACACATACATGCCTACATATAACACACACACACACATATGTAGATATGTACATATATGCACATACGTGTGTCTATGTGATGACGTCAGCTTTCTTTGAATTCGAAATGCGTCAAAATAAGCAGCAGCCGCCTGCCAGAGTGGGCGTGGCACACCTACCGCTAAGAAGTACGGTTTGTAGAGGGCCGGAGGCGTAAGGTGGGTGGGCAACGGGTCTTAGAGGTCGCAGCTTAGGTATGAGATTGTGGTTGATAAAAAGGATTAGGAGACCGGATTCTGAAGCTGCTGTGGCTTCAATTGAGCCAATTATGATGACTGAATCAAATGAGTGTGTGAGTGTGTGAGTGAGTGTGTGAGTGTGTGAGTGAGTTGTACAATGCTTGGCTCTAGTTTTCATGTTATTATACTAAAAACTTTTATGACATTTTTCATTACTTCTGCCATTCAAGCTATATTTCGATTAGTAGCAGTGGCATGCCCGACTAGCTGATACCTTGCATGCCATTGAGTGTCTAATATTTGAGCTTAGATGACGGTCTTGGCTTTATTTAAAGTGATAACTGGATTATATATAAAAATATAAAAAAAAGTTAGGGTATATTAATGGGTGTATGAAAGGGTATATAAAAGCGTATAAGGACGGGTATATGTTTTAAAATATATATAAGAGTATATGTTAGAGTATATGGTACATGGTACAAGGTACATGTACCATTTCACATACCCCTTGCAGGTGTGCATATACAGACCCTTCTATATACAATTCTTAGTATATATAGAGATATATTTAAGAGTACATGCAACAGTATATAGCAGAGCATATGGAAGGATATATGAAAAGGTACATGTGCTCTTCCATATACCTCATACATACGTAACCCTCAATAAACCCTTTTTAGTGTGTATAAACTTATATAAGTGAGGTTATATAGGCACTATAAGGCGATTTGTAGGACTAACTTTAAGAGTAGATAAGTATGGGTATTTGTTACTGAAAAATCCACTCGTTCCTCTGCACCAAATGCTACCTTAGATGAGCACAGGTCACCCACGTGTTATGCTGCCTGATTAAGCCAGACACACTTAAGTACTTAAGACGATAATGGTAATGTATATGTTAACTGATAGATACACAGCACACACAAGATATATATACGCTCTATATATCCATATATATGCCCGATGTGATGTATACAAATGCAATTTACACTTAGAGATTTCAGAGACTTCATTTTTAAGTAGAAAAAATGTTAAATTTCTCGCACACACACATACTCTACCTCTCTCTCTCTCTCTTTCTCTGTATCAGTATTGCTCTATCTCTATCTCTGTCTAATTATATTATTTGTGTTTTTAGCTCCGCAAGCCAGCGTCGACACTTTCAATTCCTGGCTCGATGAAAACACCTTCCATTGCGAACCGGGAACAGATCTCATCTGGATGCAACGAAGAAGCGGCCGAGGCTTTAGTGGGTATCCACTCCGATTACCCTAGGTATGAAATGTATGTATACCAATCGCAGCGCAAGCCCCCCACACACACACACACACACATCTAGTATAATCGCTAGACTTGGCCATCACATCGAATCGAACCCCTCCCTGACCCCCTGCACTTAGAGCGAGTGAAAAGAAACCAACAACTTTGACTAATTGCCATGGGCCATAATTAGCTGTCAGCGCCAGCAGGGCAGATTATAAATGTCACACAAGCACACACACACACATGTAGAGAGCCTCCAAACTAATCCACAACAAATGTGAAAGTTAATACATATAGAAAAACTTTTTGCTAACTATCAAATCAAGTCCAATCGAATTGCCTGACGTCCATTCAATTTGTTTGCCATGCATTATAAAGTCACTATGGCTATAGCACACACACACACACACACAGGCAAGCAAGACAACACGTGTTGTCATGTGTCCAGTTGGCTTGCATAGATAAATCTCGTTCGTTGCCTGCTAAAGTAAAATACATTTTTGGCACGGCGCAAAGCATTTGCCGACGATACCCTGTAAAGACTGGCAGCTGGCCATGGGGTATCAAGAGTTACTAGTTGCATGCAACTAAACAATATTTTAAGGTTGACATTTATTGAAAGAGCTAAAATTATGATTTTTTATAAGGATATATATAGCTAAAGCCGACATGCGTATAAAGCGATAAATGTATATATCGATAAATGTATATAGAATTGTAAAGATTATATATCGATACATATAGATTATATATCGATCTATTTATACAGATTGCTTTTCTACTCTAGAGAGGGTATTTGCAAGTCTAGCATTCAGCTCAAGTCTAATAGATTTTTTGGCAAATATAACATTTATGCAGCAGGCATTGCGGCAACTTATCATGCCCGTTCGCAAAGTGAGTGGGGCATATTGGCTTGCTGCAATATTCAGCTAGACTAAATATATATATATATATATATATATATTTGATATATCAACACCTCTATAGCTCGAGCAACCAAACTTGAGCTGCTCTATTGATTTAGCCAAAGTTCTATGGCTGAATTGTGCCAAGTCAGCTAAATCTAGATTAGATTTGTAGCTTAAAAATGCGGAACTTGTCATACCTTACTTTACTTTTGATCAACTGCCAGAGATAGTTGTATAATAAGCCTTGTTCAACTAGGAAAAAACTTTGTTTTTATGTTAAATGCAAATGGAACGGGTATAACGCAGTCGTGCAGGTCTAGCTGCAAAGTACTTGCTACTTTCCTCGCACTGCCATTGCCGCTCTCATTCTCTCCCTCTCACTCCCTCTCTGTGTGCTTATACACAAATTGATGTGACACAAATTTTCATGAGTTGGCAGCCAACCTGTCATCCATTAGTCGAAGATTTATTAAGCAATGTCCAGTCATATGCACACAGCTAGATAGATAAATAGATAGATAGATAGATGGTTAGATAGATAGATGGATAGATGGATAGACAGATATGTATATGGATGCATATTTAGATGGATACATTGGCAAATCTGTCAATGTCTCGACCAGCGCGTGCTTGGTTAGGCGTTGCTTGATGGCCGGCCGTTGGGACGGGTTGGTGGTTGAGCCGATGTGGTGGCATGGTTTATCAATTAGCATTAAGTATACGGCCCGCAATCCACATGTTTTGTTTTTGTTTTTCTTGTGGCATTTAACAGGTATATGGAAGAACGTGCGCTTACTGGCGGGAATACCTCCAGGAAGCCATCGACAAACTCGGCCAAACATAAACCGAATGTGGGCTATCGCCTGGGCAAGAGAAAAGCATTGTTCGAGAAGCGCAAACGCATTAGCGATTATGCCTTGGTCATGGGCATGTTCGGCATCATTGTGATGGTGATTGAAAACGAACTGAGCAGTGCCGGCGTCTACACAAAGGTGAGTGTTAATTAATGCCAACTGACAACTGACAACTGACGACTGTGACGACTGTGACGACTGTCTGAGCACTGACGAGCGACGACTGATGTGTGGCGAGTGATGAATCATAGATAATCGAATATCGATGCCAGCCGCCGGCTAATGAACCATGATGATTATAATAACTGGAGTGGAATGAAATTAAATTAAATTGATTGCATGACAAATTCAAAGGAGACAACTGCAAGCGGCACTCGTTACTTTTCACTTATATAAACGAGCGTTGATTGACGAGTGGAAGCAATTAATCAGACTGACGTGGGGCAGATGACAGCAGAGGGTTCTACAAGTGACAAGTGGTACAGCTACTCGTTGCTACATTACTGGAATGAAGCTACTGGCGAGTAGTATCAATTACTCGATACTTTTTGAGCGTGAAGTGAAGTGTAGAAGCCGAGAAAAGAGAGTTTGTTGAATGACAAGTGGTACAGCTATTCGTTAATTCTCACTGGAATAGTCGAGTGCAACGAGTAGCGAGTAGAATCAATTACTCGTTACTTTTCCAATGGTAACGAAAAGCAGATGATGACAAGAATGAGAATTCTACATGGCAGGTGGAATAGATACTCGTTACTTCTGACATATATAAACGAGCGTAACGAGTAGCGCTTACTCGTTACTTTTTTTAATGGACTTGACAAAAGAAAGATCAAGGCAAAGCAGCTACTCGTTACTTTGCCGCTTATTGATAACTTATTAACACTCGTTACTCGTTACTTCTTATATCTAAAAAAAATGTGAAGCTGTAATTTGAATATAACGAGTAAGACATATCATATGTCTTAGCTGTTGAGCTAAAGAGTAACGAGTAGATTGAATTGCAACGAGTAGCTGCATTAAGTTCGTTGTATTGGAGATACCTCAATGTAGCGAGTACTGTTGGACGAACAACAACGAGTAAATGAAGGACTCGTCACTTAAGCAAACTCACTCGAGCGAGTTTCTCAATATATTTAACCTTTTCTTGTTCTCGTTGCAGGCATCGTTTTACTCGACAGCGTTAAAAACCTTAATATCTGTTTCGACTGTGATTCTTTTAGGACTTATAGTAGCTTACCATGCTTTGGAAGTGCAGGTGAGAGTGAGTGCAAATTGTATCTTCTCTTCCAGATGTTTATTGATGGTCGTCATCGTTATTGTTTAACGTTGCCATCGTTTTGCCCGCCCGCCCGCCTGTTCCCAACCCAACCTCGCTCACTGTTATGATAAATCCCCAACCTCAACCCGATCAATCCGTAAAACAGTAAACAAACTCAAATCCCTCTCATCAAATCCAACTCTAGAGCTACGGCCCAGGCCCCCTAGGGTTTCCCTAATCCCCAGCTCCACACACCTCATTGCAGTTTGTTTGTTGTAAAGTTTGTGTGTTCTTTGTCTGTTATTTCTTCAATCTCAAAAGTAATTTGCCCGTAGCTCCAAAAAAAATACAAAATAAAACAAAAAAAAAAAACAGAGAGAATGCCAACAAAAAGCGTAAAAGAGAAAAGAAAACAGAGTCTTGCACTTTGCATTTAACGTAATCGTAATCGTAATCTCGTTATCGTTATCGTTATCGCCAACGCCAGCAGCATGCCAGCTGGCGTTGCGGAACGCAACTGTACCTAACACAAAGTGCAACACTTTGTTTATTGTTTTTATTTCTATATATATGCATTCATATATATATATATATATTTCTTTATACTTTTGAATGTATTTTATTTATATCCAATATCAAAATCCGTTCCGTTCATTTTACATATATAGAGCATATATATGTATACTATATAGAGAGTGCGTTCTGTGAACTATGATCCCTAGACTCTTAGAGATGCCGCTGCTCTCAGTTAACTAGAACAAACAGCAAAAAACAACTCATCAATCAATCAATCAATGTAGCATCATCGAGCATTCTAAACGAGAAACATGCAACATCTATCAAACTCAACTCATTGCATCAGAGGGTTCAGCAAAATATATTTTCTCTTTCTCTTGAGACCAAATGCATGTATAGCATCTCAGATCAATCAGTCAATCACTCAATCAATCAATTAAGCTCAACTAATTGAGTCAGAGAGTTTAGAAAAATCCATTTCTCCACATATTGAGGTCAATCGCTCTCAGCTCAATCAATCAATCAATCAGTCAAACAGCTCAATCAATCAATCAAACTCAACTCCTTCAATCAGAGTTCAGCAAACAGCATTTCTCAGCGTCTGAAGCCCAATTGCATGAATGGCACTCGGCTCAATCAAACATTCAATCACTCAATCAATCAGCTCCATCAATCATTCAATCAAGCTCAGCTTCTTCAATCAGAGCGCTCAGAAAAATGCATATCTCTACATCTTGAGGCCAATCGTATGTATAGCACTCAGCTCAATCAATCACTCAATCAAACACTCAATCAATCACTCAATTAGTCAAACTCAACTCCTGCAATCAGAGAGTTCAGCAAGATCCATTGCTCTACATATGAAGACCAATTGCATGTACAACACTCAGTTCAATCAATCAATCAATCCATCAATCCTTTGCCCCAATTCATTTCCTTCGACTCCTACATTCGCCCTCCTTCAGTTTTATGAATATCTCTCTCTCTCTATCTATCTATCTCTCTCTATATATATATATATACATATAATTGAATCACATCTAATCAAATTGTTCGCATGAGTAACTAACGGTAATTGATAATACATAGAATACCCAAACCCCGAGCATGAAAGAACTATTTAAACATTTCGTTATTCCTTATTTTATATATATATAAATATTACTTAATTAACTAGTTATTTCAATATGCATCTCGAACATGTGTTTTTTTCCAATACATTCGATCACAAAACATTGCACACAATTTACTCGTATATCCAATAATATCAACTGACAACTCATAATCAAATAAACTTCTTGAGAAAAACCTAGAAGCAGAGCCATCGTTATATAAAATTAAGCAAATATAAATTCGTTTCGCTTTCGACTCAATGAGAAAGTCCTGTGATATATCCTGTGTTTCAGTTTCTTTCGATGGAAAATCTAAAATAGAAAAAGAAGACGAAGAAGAAGAACCACCGCTCAATCTAAATATGAAAAAGCCTATGTATATATATATATATATATATATATATATATATGTCGCTCTCTATATACATATATATATGCATTGGTACAGCTGAGCTAAATCATTTGCCAAAACATCTTTCGTCCATGATTCAGATTCAGATTCAGAATACATAAATTGAATGTTCAATCATCTTCGATGCAAAAGACCAACTATCAATCAAACAATCAATCAGTCAGCTAATCAATATCAGCTCTATATGCCATACACAACAAATATACACACATATATATATATGTGCGTGTGTGTGTGTGTCCATATATAGCTGAACATATCAGTCGTCTCTCATATTCGTTATCTTTTCATACTTTGTTATCGACTATATAAATCCGATTAAGTGTTAACTCCCCCCCTTCCACTTTTTTTTAATGTTGATGTTTAAAGTAAAAATTTTAATATGTAATTACCTTCCAATTATGCTTTGCAGAATTCAGTAAGTAATACTTATATAATATACATCATAAATATTTGTGAGTAATTCCTACATGCATAGTGTTATGTACCCCATACATACTATATATGGTTAACAGTACCAAAACTAAACAACAACAACAACAACAGCATTCAACATAGAGTAGCTTGACAACAACAACAACAACAACAGCCTACAACAACAACAACAATACGCCACATCAATACAACTATATATACATACATGTACCATGTACCTAAGACCTGTATTTGTATACATTGTATGAATATAACTGTACCGTGTACCTAATACTCGTGTGTGCAAGACATGCCTCATGTACCTAATACATGTATACGTATACGTTAAATGTACCCAATGCTTTTGCGAACACATGTACCATGTACCTAAAACATCTATTACTGTACGTGTACCATGTACCAAATACTTGCACGAATATACATGAACCATGTAACAAATGCATTTATACGTACAAGTATAATGTACCATGTACCAATCAATTGCATTTGTATACATGTATCATGTATTTAATACTTGTATTTGCATATATATACAATGTACCTACTACTTGTATTTGCGTACATGTAGCATGTTCCGAAAACATGTACATGTATAATGTACCTAATGCTTGTATATGCACATGAATTATGTACCTAATACTTGTATATGTAGATGTACCATTACTAGTCTATACACACATGTACCATATGTACTTGTATGTAGACTTACATTTATCTTGTTCCAAATACTTGTATAAGTACACATGAACTATGTACCTAATACTTGCGTTTACACATGAATCATGTACATGTACTAGGTACCGGAGAAATACATGAGCATGTACCAAATACTTGTACGTTTGTATTCCACAAAACGAATACTAAAGCCGCGGGAAAATTAACCTAGAAACGACAAATCTATTTAAATGTCTAGTTGAAAATGCGTCTCATTGTTTGGCTATAACAAATACGTTATTATAGTGCCAGATATCGTTGTTTACATTAGATCGCTTCAAGCTGTTTCCACTTATTTGATTGAAGACTATCAAGAAACTGATCTGTATGTGTGTGTGTGAAAGAAAAACTATCGTCAATCGGAACTATCGAATACTTTACTATAATAAACCCAAAAAATAGTTCAGTTAATTAAATCTGTTGCCATTAAAATTTATTTCGTGTAGCTTAACATATGACCATGAGCGATCTGGCAATCTAAAACTCAAAATAGAAAATACATATTTTACATAATCATAATACTCAATGCATATAAATGCGCTTTTATTTAGTTTTGTTCTTATTCCAATTTCACTGAACACGAAAAATCCAATTGCTCAAGCAAAGATTCAGGCAAATGATACTATTACACATCTCTATGTGCTTATCAAGCTAGCTCGCTCTAACACATGACAACAACTGCCGTATGGCGACTGTGATTGCAACGATAGCGGCAGCTCTTTCACACGCGCACGCACAAATGACTTGACAAAATGGCGGTTCGATACAAAGACATACAGCTGATCAAACAGCACTGACAACAACAAAAACAACAACAAACAAAAACTTAAAAACAACCGTTGCTTAGTTTTGCACCAGAAGCAATCAACCAATCACCGATTCACCAATCGCATTTGCGGGGCCTTTTGTGTAGTGCTAGTCCACAACTGCAAAGCTGCATATAGTATGTATGTATGTATGTATGTATGTATGTACAAAAAGGGGAAAACATTACACACACACAGACACACATACTCAAAGACATACACACACACACACACACACATATGAGCATTCTCATTGCTAAGTCGATTCGGTAAAAGCATCAAAAATCATTTTTAATCACCAAGATTCGAACGGTGCTTCGATTTGCCAAAAAGAAATAGAAGAAGAAGAAGAAAAACACAAAACCCTTCACAGGACTTTGTCAGAGCAGTGCGCGCGCGTGTATGTGTGCGTGTGTGTATGTGTGTGTGTACCAAGTGTAAAGTCTCGCTTAAACATTCTATAGTTCAGTTCAATAGTTTCTCAATTCTTGTTTTCTTTTCGATTAATCGGCTTAACTTGCGAATGACTCATATGCAAAAACAATACTCGTAGCTATCGTAACTATCGCAACAATCGTATCTACGTAACACACGGCTTGTAGCTACAGCCACAGTCAATACTCGAACAACAACAACAACAACTCCAACTACTCGAATACCATAATACTCAATAGCAAATAGCAAAGTGTTTGCCACGCCCACTGCCCAGCCGCTGTCGCCGCCGCCGCCGCCTCTTAGCCTCGCCCCGAACAATAAGCCCTGAAACCCCTGAACCCCCGAAACCCCCTCACGCAACATTCACAACATGTGATTTGTTTATCCAATGTGTCTGTGTGTGTGTGTAGTGTAGTGTAGTATAGTGTAGTCTAGTGTAGTGTAGTATAGTCTAGTGTATATGCGTATCTAGATACCCCAATGTGCTTTTAAATGTTCGATTCGCTTCACTGCTATGATTAAACCAGCTAACTATATATACTCGATACGATCTATAATGTACCTCGACTAGAAATCGCGTGAAAACGAAATAATCAACCAATTACTTGACCCGAATCGCAATCAATATTGAATCACGCTCGTTTATCATAAGTACGTTAATTATAACTAATATTATCTCCAGCTCTACACACATATATATATCTGTGTACCCAATGTGATATATTAAATCAATAAGTACTATATACATATATCAATATATATATATATATATACAGCCCAAATAACTGAATAAGCAATAAATTAAGCTAGCCTAGGGTCAATCACATGCATTTTGGATGGACTTGTTGGTCCCATGCTTATATATATATATATTATATGTCTGGTTTACTAAAATATCTTATTGTACCCACATTAAGCTAACCAAAATAAAACCCTTTTCATGTCAGCTATTTGATATGATAGGGTTCGATGTGGGCATATCTATGAAAAACTTTTATATTTAAATAAAAAGTCTATGGAAATTGTGCTAAAAACAGGAAATGCATTAAAATCTAAAATGTACCAAATGTCCTTAAGGTTAGTTCTGTACCACAGCTGCTTTAATTCAAAAGCTTTCTAATCTTAACTGTACCAAAATTACTAAGGGCAAGTTCTCTAAGTTACTCCTGGCATACTGGATTGTACCAAAGGTCTTTAGGCTTAGAATTGTGCATTATACCACAGTCTTTACCTTAGACTTTTGCAACGTACCAAAGATGCCTAATGCTATAATTCTGAATAGCACCGAAGATAAGTGCCAGCTTTGAGCTCTGCATTGTACCAACCATTCTTCAGTGCAGAATTGTTTATTATACAAAAGGCCATTTATATTCCAATTCGGCATTGTACCTAAGGTGTTTTCATTAAACATAAAATGTACCGAAAGTTAAGAAAATTAGAATTCTGTATGCCTTAGCTTAAAGCTTTGTACCTGAGGTAAGAAGAAGGTTAAAGGAAATAAGCTGTGATTTCTGATTTGTACCATAGAAGCGTACAGTTAAAGCTATGCATTGTACCATGGATTTTTATATTATAGTTCTACCATAGGGTTTTCAGCTGCCTTGTATCTAAAATCGGTACGTTTTCAATTATGTATTCCAGCATAAATATGTACAGCTTGAACTTAGCATTGTAAGAAAAATACTGTAGCATGAAATCATAATTTGTACCTAATACACAATGCTTTGGTCGTTTAGTTGTTGTCAAGTCATTGAGACTAGTCATGTGTACTGTACCAGTGGTCCTAAGGACTCCTGTACTGTACCTTTGGTGCTTAATATCGTAATATATTAAAGGTGCTACAGAGCTCAGTATTGTACCTTGTGCTTATGTTTATATTTCTATACTGTACCAACGATCTAACAGACGCCTGTACTGTACCTTAAGTGCTTACTGTTAGAATTCTGTAAGGTAACTGAAGTGTATTTTCCCAAAGTGCTTTAATTTAGATTTTTGTGTTGTAGAAAAGGTTCTAAGGTCCCCTTTCTTGTACCTTAAGTGCTTGATATTAGAATTTCGTAATGTACCAAAGGGGACATAAGGCCATGTATTGTACCTAAGTGCTTAAGTTTAGAATTCTGTGCTGTAGCCAAGGTCCTTCAGCCTGGCGAAGGTCGTTGAGGTTAAAGTTCCACGTTGCTCGGTTAAATTTGCCTTTTGCAAGTCTGGTCACACTCGCGCAGCCCTTGAGCGCGCTCAGCTCACTTCAGAGCTAAGCAAGCGAACTAAATTAGTTAACGTTCGTTAAACGAGTGGGCTTCAAGCAGCTATTTGCGTATTGGCAGTTAGACACTTGACCTAATCGATTGCCCGCGTCAGAGCAAGGTGGAGGCATAAGGCAGGAGGAAGACGGAAGGGGGAAGGGGGAGAGAAAGTGAGTGAGGGAGAGGAAAATATGTATAATAATAGTAAAAGCAATTTGGCTTAGCTCAGGAGCTCGAGTGCAGTTGCAATCGATTTAATTAAATCAAGAGACTCTCATCAGAGGCGAATTAAGTGCCAAAGCGAACGATTTGGCTTAATTCAAAATTGATTTGAGCCAATTAAAAAGCAAGAGAACAGAAACAAGAAAAAAGGTAAAAAAAAAAAAACAAACAAAAAATTAAACAACAAAAAAATAATAATAATGTGCTAACAACACGAGAACACGCACGTCGCCTACCTCTAAGCAGTAAGTACTTTGCACACACACACGCACACACACAGACACGCACACACACATGCACACACACTCACGCACATGTTTAGTGACTTGTGTTAGCCAATCACAAGTAGCCAACAGCTGCACGTCCGATAAGTGCATCAACGAAGAAGCAGAAGAAGCTCGAAGCAGCAGCCAACGGCAGCTAACTGGTGCTATCGTTATCGTTATCGATAAGCAACCAGCAGGTTCTGCAACTCCTATTGTTATCGTTATCGATAGCAAATAGTGTCCGTATGTTATCGACTGCACGTAGCTAGCAGGCTGTGTAAACACCATCGTTATCGGTATAGTTATCGATAACAAAGAGCTATTTACTAGCAGATTTTCTAAAGCATTTGCGAGCAGCATCGCCACCGATAATAAACAACTAGCAGGCTTTCAATACACTTTTTTATCGTTATCGATAACAATCAGCTGGCAGCCAGAAGACTTTACATGCCCCATAAGAGACAGCGACCAGCTATCGAGTCTTACAGCCCATTATCAGTCTTATCGTTATCGATAACAGCTAGCAGCTAACAGATTAACACACCGTTGTGCTCGTTATCGTTATCGATAACAGGAAAGTAGCAGGATTTGCAAACGCTTTCGTTATCGTTAGCGATGACAATCAACTAGCAGCCAATAAGCTTAATCCACACAAGTATTACCATTATCGTTATCGATAACAGGGAAATAGCAGGACTTGCAAACGCTTTCGTTATCGCTATCGATAACAATCAACTAGCAGCTAACAGGCTTAAACCACACAAGTGTTATCATTATCGTTATCGATAACAGGAAAGTACCAGGACTTGCAAACGCTTTCGTTGTCGCTATCGATAACAATCAGCTAGCAGCTAACAGGCTTAACCCACACAAGTGTTATCATTAGTTAGGTTTTACAAACGCTTACCTTATAGTTATCGTTATCGTTTTCGTTATCGATAGCAGTGTTAGATATGCATAAAGGCCAAGAGCAGGTCTCGCTTAGAACGCCTCATCGCTTGCAATGCAACAACTGCACCACACGCACCCACACACACTCGCACACACACACACACACACACGGTCTCTCTTGCACACACTTAGCCATAGACATACCTATACCAATACATGTACACCTCATAGACGTTGTAATTTGTCAATTAATTCATTGCTCGTAATTTTGGGTGTTTTTTCATTTTGTTTAGTCGCAAATAAACAAATCGATGAAATTCCAATTATAATTAATAATTTATTTCTATTCTCTCTCTCGTCCTCTCTCTCTCTCTCTCTCTCGCCCTCTCTTTCCATGCTTGTTTTTACTGCTGCGCCAAACGGATGAATAAACGAAATAAAAAATGATTAAATATATCTAATGAAATCCATATATATCTATAACAATATATATATATATATATTTATATATATCCGAATCTGTGTGCGCGCGTATGCATTGTAGTTATTCATGATAGATAACTGCGCCGACGATTGGAGGATCGCAATGACATGGCAACGAATTAGTCAAATAGGGTTAGAACTTTTTATATGCGCTATACATCCAATTCCTGGCGAATACTATTTCCAGTGGACGACGAAATTGGCCAATAAAAACAAAACAATTGGCACCGAAATGGTGCCCTACGACGTAGCTTTATCACTACCTATGTTCCTTCGATTATATTTAATCTGCCGTGTCATGCTGCTACATTCAAAGCTATTCACGGACGCATCATCACGGAGCATCGGCGCTCTCAATAGGATTAATTTTAACACAAGGTAAGTCAGGTCCACTCACCATTCCAGCTGTGTTAAGCTCTATGCAGTGAGAAGCATGAAGTGATCAACTCAACTGGCTTTTCACTTAGCTTCTTTCTTTCTTTGTAGCTTAGCTTAGCAGCGAAGTGAGAAGTTCAGAATTGTATTTAAAGCTGCTTTCTTTACTTCTCTCTATGCTTCCCTAGACTGCCGGGAGAAACTAGGCATAAGCTAAAGAGAAGATAAATCATATATCAAGCTACTTTTACTTCTCTCTTTGCATATCCTATATTCTACTGAAAGAAGCATATGATAAGCTAAATATGACATCAATCATATATATAACTGGTTTTTACTTCTCTCTTTGCTTCTCCTGCATTACTTAGCATTTTTTTAATGCCGCAAGAAGCTAAGTGATAAGTAAAAACTTATGTAAATCAAATTTACTGCTGCTTTAGCTTCTCACTTTCCTGCTGATAAGCTTAAAAGTGATTAAATCGTATATATAACTGTTTTTACTTCTCACTTGGCTTCTTGCGCATTACGAAATGTATTTTAACTGCCGCAAGAAGCTATTTGATAAGTAAACTCTCAGATAAATCTATTGTATAGCTGGTTCTCATTTTTCTTGGACACTTTATTGAGAGAGGGAAGCAGAAAGAGAGAGAGCTGAAGAAGTAAAGATCTCTCTCTCTCTCTCTCTCTCTCTCTCTCTCCTACTCTGCAACTCTCCAGCTTGTTCGTTTACTTCTTACTTAAAGTCTAATTGAAGATATGAATCTAAGCGAATATTATTGATATATTGAAATATCGAAGCATAAGATCTACCCCTAAATATATCTCTTCTCTTCCCTTGTTAATAGATTTGTTTTAAAAACACTTATGACAATATGCCCGGGAACGGTTCTATTGGTCTTTATGGTCTCCCTGTGGATCATCGCCTCGTGGACGCTGCGGCAATGCGAAAGGTAATGCAATTAACTATTTAAAAAAACGTTTTTTGAAAAAAAAAAACAATTGAAAAAAAGAAACGAAAAACAATATTAAAAAAAGAAACTTTTGAATAGTTATATTTACGTAGTTATTTATGATGTTGTTTCTGTTGTTCGATCCTTGAGTTGATTTCAATTTGTTACCCAACTTTCACGTTTTTCGATTGTTCTTGTTTTGTTTCAATTATTTTTCTATATTTTTATTTTTTTCTTATTCAATTTCTCATTTTAATTTTATTATTTTTTTTTGAAGCCCGATTTAATGTATGCCACTAATACTTTGACATAGCTATACATATATATACATGCATACACGCATATATATAACAAATATGTGTGTGTATATGTGTGTGTATGTGTGTGTGTGAGTGTGTGTGTATGTATATATGTGTGTATGTGTATATATATGCCTACTTAATACATATTTATTTACATAACTGTATGTGCTAAGCATTACGTAATGTCTTCAACTTTCCAAAAATTAAAAAAAAGCAAAATAACACGTTCTATCCTATATCCATGAGGGATATGAAATCACAGATTTTCAATAGAGTTTTACTCCAGCTCCAGCGGCAATTAAATAAAATAAAAAAGAAATAAGAAAGGAAATAAACTCGAAAGTATTTTGTAACTGTATCTTTATTGAGCAAAATGAATTGCTCGAAAGTTTTTTCTTTGCAACTTGCATTCAAAATGGGGTTTAAGCACAGCACGCGCACACACAAACACGCACACACACACACGCCCACGCATACACACACACACACACACACACACATACCACATACACAGCGAGCAGCTGCACCCATCAACCAATACGTATTTTGTATCTTCTTTCGTTAAATTTTGCAGCTGTGCATGGCCAACTGTGTGTGTGTATATGTGTATCTTTCTCTCTCAATACAATCCACTGCCATTTGCACACACACACATACACATTTACAGTCAGCGAGTGTGTTCATGTCACGTGCTGAAATATAATTTTTGCATGCAGCTCAATTTTATTTACATTTTATACATAATTCCAGCTGATGCGAATTGTCTCTCTCTCTCTTTCGCTCTGCCTTGTGCTTATTTTGAATGATATTCCATTGACGACTGCATTTACTGTATGTGTGCGTGTGCGTGCGTGATTTAATAGGTATAGAAAACAATGAAATATGACTGTCCCACTCGCTCTCGCGCTCTCTTCCCATTTCAGCATAGTCAGTCAGTTAGAACGAACGAATAAAAATTTAAATAAAATATTCCTTAAGATTCTGCTCATGCTGAATTTGTAGTCCATTTAGCTAAATTAGTTGTATTAACATTTTATCATATATTATATATATATATATATGTCTTCCTTGTTTTTTTGGCTGCCTTGCGTAGTATTGAACTATAATTTTTTGTTGCTAGTCCATATATATACTTATATATGTATATATATATACATACATATATATATTTACTTCGTATGCTTAGCTTTAACAAACTCAATCAAAAACACACACAATCCTGTTTATCTCGAACTGTCTCTCTCTCTCTCTCTCTCTCTCTCTGTCTCCTGCTGTCTATATTTTAACGATGACACTTAATTTCGATAGCAAAGTTGCACTCAATTAGTCCATCACTAAGTACTCTAATGATAATTGATAATTGAGAGTTTTGCTTGCGTATGATGAGTTCTATGCACTTATCAGTATGTGCCCATATGCCCAATAATAAAAATACTTTAGTTTAACTTTTTACTTTAACATTCTTTTTAACTTAAGTCTGTGTATTACCAACTTATGTTTTATTAATTTTCTTTTATGCTATTGTGCAGGTGTGTGTTGTGCGTGTTGTGTGCGTGTGTGCGTGTCGTGTTGTGTTGTATTGTATTTAGTACAGCTGTAACAGAGTTATACTCTTTACTCGTACATTGTATTTATTAAGCTTCCAATATGGATTGAACTAACGCCTGCATTGCTCTAGAAATCGTATATCGTATGCATAACAAGTAACTATATTTACTATATATTTACATACTTCTACAACTACAACAACAACTACTACTACTACTAGCAAAACAACAAACATAAAAACAAACTATATAAATACAAAAACAAATTGAATTCAATTGAAAAGAAAAAAACAGCAAGAGGAACCGAAATCTTATGTTAATCAGTGTAACCGAATGTGACTTAAAATATATGTAACGGACAAACACACACAGAGACATATGTATGAATAGCAAAACTGGAGTTTTGCGCCACGTGCTATGCTTGCTGCTCTTGTTGTTGTTCTTATTGTCACTGCCTGCTGCCTGTTGTTGTTGTTGTTCATCTTCTTCTTTTTCTTCTTACTGTTGTTGGTGCTTGGCTGTGCATAAATATAATTCATAAATAAGCCGCAACATTTACAGCGACAGCAGCAACGATAGCGGCAGCGACAGCGACAGCGACAGCCACAGCTTTAGCGATGGCCGCATCCACAACCACACAGCGTTGAACGTTTAACAGTTATATATTTTTATTCTTTTTTGTGCTGCGTGGGCTTATTTGTTTTTGCCAGCGACTGCGACTCCTTCGACTTGCCCACTATTCGACTTTGCTTTCCCATTACTTGTGTCGTTTACATTTTTGTTGTTTATCTGTTTTTGTTTTTGTTGGCTTTTTTGCTTATTTCTTATTTTTTTTTTGTTATCTTGTTTTCATTTCGGTATTCGTTTTGTTTTTTGGCCTACGACCTTTGGCTAAGCCCTCATGACGCGGCAAATGCTACACGTGTTCACATCCTCTGCCTTCGTCTCCCCATCCCGCTCCACGCTATCTCACTCTCTCTCTGTGTCACTCGCTACTCATCAGTTTTATAATGAAATGCCATCGCTAATGCGAGTCCCTCTATGACGTTCTTTCAATACTTTCCAACGAACTGTGTATCGGTTACAGTTTCCCCTTTTCACTTTTGTTGTTTTTTTGTTTCTTTTTTGTTTTTTTTTGTTGTTGTTTTCTTATACGTTCTTCTTTGTGTTGTTTGTGGAACGTAAGCGATGATTATCATCTTTCTATCGTAGCGTTGCGATACAACACAGAAATAGACCCATGTGCGCAAATATATATACATACCTACATACACACATGCATACAAATATATATATTTGGGTTCCTGAATAACACAAGACAGGAACAAGATAAACTATGCGATTTCAACAACAACAACAACAAGCAACTCATTTCGTATACAATTTGTCCTATTTTGGTGTATTTCTAACTTTATATAACAACTTTTCTAAGCGTATATATATATATATATATATATATATATATATATATATATGCATAGATATGTATATGATATATGCACATATACATATGTATATATGTATATATATTGATTGATATATTGATGTCCATTTATACATAATACTTGGTTCCTATATACTACCTTATATACCCTACAAACTAAACGTTTGCATTTTCCCAATTTTTCCTTTACATTCTTATATTGAAGATTGATGATTATCATAATATCTAAATGTTGTCCTTTTTCTTTGATTTTCGTTTTTCTCTTATCTGTTTACTGTAGAAGTTTTTCGCAAACTAAATTTAAAATTCCATTTTTTAACATACATAAATATATAATTTTTTCTTATACAACCCGCATAGTAATTAATAGTAGTTGAGTTCGACAAGTCTAGATAGAAGAGGAATTTCCATTTGTGGAAAGGGCAAATGACGGACGAGATCCTCCCGATATCCGTAATAGTTAACAAATTAGTTCGAAAAAACCATTAGAATTACCAATAGAGCATTCTTTAGTATATCGATTGTACACAATAACACATTAGGGATATATCGATAAGCGAAAGGGCTTTTGGTATCGATGTTAGACAAGAACAGATACATATTGATGCATCGTTAAAGAAAGACATTCGATTTTGATATCGGTTTATTCAAATTAATACATTTAGCTTGTAGCGATATATCGATAAGTTACAGCTTTTCGCTGTATATATTGATATATAATAAATCCATCACACCTATAATATCAACAATCCTATAGAAGATGAATTTCGGCTTTTCCATACATAATATCGATATATCGATAGGCTAAAGAGTTCAGCATAGCGAATATTTAACGATATATTCGCAAGATTGATATATAAAAGTGTCCGGTAATTGTATCGATATCGATATATCGATTAAGAAAAGATTATTCCCAATGTTATCGATATACACACTGTGTCGTACATATATAGCTGATATCTTCTTATTGATTAGATGATAGAATATTAAAGTAACATTTCTTTATATCGAAAAGATATAGCTTTCCACAATAATAATAGATTGATCAACAACTATCGATAAGCTTCATCGTATGCAACTGCAGCCATAGTAACAGAAATCCATCCTTTATATCGTTTCATTTTGCTTTCCTAAATAGAAAGTGTATTTCCAGCAGCTTTTGCATATGTACTTATCGAAATTGAAATCAGAATCCCTAATATATGTGTGTGTTGCTATGTGTGTGTGTGTGGCACACAAATAGTTTATGTGTTGAGAGCAAGCGTTGAGAAGCTGACTGTCATGCGATTTGTTTAAGCAACAGCGATAACGATAACGATAACGATACCAATTAGGCTGCAGAAGACAGACAGACAGAGAAAGAGACAGGGAGACAGTACAACGAGCTGCTCGAGGCAAAGTGTTCGCTCAGTTTGCTTCCTTTTTGTTTGTTTTAAGGGCCATCAAAGAGACATTTTGACATTTGCTTGCCACAACACGGCACACGGCACACAACACACACAGACACACCTTTTACAGCACTGCACACAGAGAGGGAGGTAAGGAGAGAGAGGACAGACGTACTTAACCAGAGCAGAGCAAAGCAAAGCAAAGCACAGCACAGCATCCGCTGCGTCGTTGGCTCATCATTTCATGTTTGCTCATCAGCTGCTGCTCAGCTTCATTAGTTTGCTCACATGACCTGCGACCCCGCCGGGCCCCGTTCCATTAGCCCCGCCCACGCTCAAGCGGGCCCTTGAGCTGTAATTGCAGTCGGCAGCATTTAACAGTTGTGTGACTCAGCTGCAGTTGCAGGTACAGGTGCAGATGCAGATAGCAACATTTTTGCTTTTAAGCTTAGATAGTTGAGGTTAACTGTGTGTGTGTGTGTGTGTGTGTATGTGTGTGTGCGAGGCATTAGTCTTGATCTAATTGAAGCCATTAGCCTCTAGCAGTACTCACATGCAGCATCCCCCCTCTCTCTCTCTGTCACGTTCCTAATCCAATCAGTTAAGTCCATCAATTTAGCAGGCAGTTTGTCAGTCACTTTGCCAGCTGGTTAGTTTGTGTGCGGGGCATTAATTAGGGACATTACTTACTATGTAATTCAAGCTCACATGCTGCAGGTTCTCTCTCTCTCTCTGTCTCCTGTTAGTTCTTCCTCTAGTTAGTCAGTCAATCAATCAATTTAGCAGGCAGTTTGTCCATCACTTTGCCAGCTGGTTAGCATTTAGCTCAGTCTCTCTCTCTCTCTCTTTTGCCCTTAATGCTGTTAGTTCTTTGCAGTTACTCAGTGAATCAGTCAGCTTAACAGGCAGTTTGTCAGTCACTTTAGCAGCTGGTTAGCTACTTTTCTGAACGGAACACAAACGCACACACACACACACACATATGATCAAAGCAGAAGTTTCCATTCATAACGCTCATTCGTTCAGCTTGTGCCTTCAGCTTAAGCCTTATAAAGAAGTCTATGCAAACTTAACCTAACTTAACTACTTAACTACTTGCTTAGCCCTAATTAATATGATGATAATTATATATAATTATATATGTGTATATATCATATATATATATATATATATATATATATATATATATATATATATATATATATGTGTGTACATACGCATATATTCGTTCCCCTCTCGGTTATCCTATTCTATTATTCTGAACTTGATTCCTTCTATCGATTCCACTCTCTATCTACTCTCTCTCTCTCTCTCTCTCTATATATATATATATATATATATATATATATATATATATATATATATATATATATATATATATATATATATATATATATATATATCTATATATATATATATATATATATATATATATTTGTTCGTTCTATGTTCGTTTATCCTTTTTGTGTTTTCATATTTGTTCTCTTCATTCGTATCTATTGATTTGATAATTATATATGTATTATATATATAGTTTATGATTCTTTGTTCGATTTGTCTAATACTTAATTGTTATACAACAAAAAATGAAAGAAAAAAGCAACAACAGCAAATGAAATATAATATTTGTACTATTTGTTATTTGTTTTTTCTTTTCGATAACAAAAATTACCAAAAAAAAAAAACAAAAACAAAAAATACCAAAACGAAAAAATGTTCACATAATTTCACATCTGTTTATTTGTTTACTCCACTTCTCACCCTACTTCTGTATCCACAAATTGCAAAATGAAATTCAATCTGAAAACCAAAATCAAAAACAAAAAAAATCGAAAATTAAAATATATTACGCATACGCATCCGAATACCGAATACTGAATATACCGATACCGATACCGCTACCGATACTGATACCGATATTTATCAAATCACAATACCAATATATATATATATATACATATATATATACAATGCCGAAAACTATAAAAAAAAATACCAAAAATAAAAACAAACGATATGTATGTCTATGAAAATCGATATTATATATACATATATATATGTGCGTATATATATATGTATATATGTGAATATATGTTTGCTACCAACTGAACTGCACTCTGAACTCGAAACCGATAATGATAACATAAATGAATTATCGCATTTATCGATAACTAATATCGATAACGATACCGATAACACAAATGAACTATCGTAATTATCGATAACTGGAACCGATAACGATAACGAATCGATAAATCGAACTCGAAAACCGTTGCACATCTCATGCCGTATATCGCATATCGAATACCGCCTATCGCATGTCCCAACCGAAGGTTCCACGATGAGGAGCACGCTAATTTGCTAAACACCATGTGGCTAACAGCCATCACATTTCTGTGTGTCGGCTACGGCGACATTGTGCCAAACACATACTGTGGACGGGGCATAACCCTCACCTGCGGCATGGTGGTAAGTATACCAACTAGAAAAACAAAACAAAAATACCAAAAAAAAAACCAAAATACCAAACAAAAAAAGAGTAAATAAAACAAGGCAAATCTATAACGAAACAAAATCAAAAAGAAAACAAGAGAAAAAGATAAAGAAACCAGAACAAATCAACAGAACAGACAAACAACAGTTAACAGTAGCAGAACAGACAATGTTAATAACAGATGTTACAACAACAGCGTTACAGACAATGTTAATAACAGATGTTACAACAGCATTACGTATACGTAAGCGTTACACAACATGCATACGATATAAAGCTAAAGCGGAAGGGCAAGCACACACACACACACAGACACTATATGAGTGTGCGTGTGTGTGTGTGTGTGTGTTTCTGTTGGCCATCTGCCAGAAGCACAGTTATCGGCTGCGCGATTTTAGCTGATTAGCTGAAGCTTTAACTTCTGCTGCCGCCGCCGTCGTCGCCGCTTCCTGCCAGGGCATTGCGCGCGCGTTTAGTTCATTCCATAAATCTCAATATTTGAGAGCAGACAAGTTTCTGTTTAATATCATCAAGACACCAGCTCCAAGCCACCCAACAGCAGCAACAACAACAACAACAACAGCAACAACAACTCATGCATAAATCGTATTTTTTGTGTGTTTCCTTCCCGCCCTCAAACATGTTCATCTGCATTACTTCTATATAATCGTACATACTACACTCACATATATATGTGTATATATGTTTAAGCACACACACACATGCACACCCACACACCCACACACTCACATATATATATATATAAGCATTCATATGTCTTTTACACTGTTTTGCTCTAGCTATGTCTCTGACTGTGCCTCTCTCTGTGTATGTGTGCGTGTGTGTGTGTGTGTGTGTGTCTGTGTGTGCCTGGCAAACTTTTGTTTTGTGTCTCCGTTACCACAAACAGGCAACAAATCCTTGTTGACAGCTCATTCTATACACATATATATGTATATAGAATACCTAAATATGTATATAGTCCCATAGCTATGTACATATCTCTCTCTCTCTCTCTCTCTCTATGTGTGTGTGTGTGTGTTTTGGGCAAAACTGTGTTCAATTTTAAGTCACTAAAATAAAAACAAAGTAATGTTGTGCACTCACTCTCTCTCTCTCTCTCTCTCTCTCTTTCTCTATTTCTACTACCAAAAATTAAAAGAAAAAAAAAAAAAGTTGAAAATTCTTAAGAGAAAAATTTGTTGTCACTCGGTTCACGTCGCTGTCCTTTTCTATACTTTCTCTCTCTCTGTCTCCTAGATATACACTCTATGTCTTACAACAAGAAAAGCAAAAATACCAAAACAAATACCCAAAAAAAAAAAAAAAACATTTTCTCTTTGCATATTTTTTATCAACATTTCTCTCTCTCTGTCTCTCTCGCTCTCCTTATATATATATATATATAATCTATAAATTTTTATGCCTGTCATCAGTTCAAGTTCGACTAACTATCAGTTGCTACTACTATATGATTAAACTAGTTTTGTTCTTTCTGAAGCTTTTCGTTTTTAGTATTTTTATTATATACTTAATCGTTTGAGCCTAACTTTTATTGTTTCATTTGTTTGTTTTGCTTTTGCTTTTGTTTCTGTTTCATTGTTCGATGAGTAAACGATAACTTTTATTTTTGATTTACATATATTCTTAAATACTTATTATGTGTTCGTTTTTGTGTATATTAAGCCAAAACAATACGATATTTTTCTCTATCTCTCTTTCCCTTTCATTTAATACTGAATAATACGCTCTGCGCGCTCGTATACCCGTTCAAAAAAAAAAAAAAACAAACAAACAAACAAAAAATACCAATGTAAACGCGTATTTTTTGCCCCTGACTGCGTTTTACAATTTACAAACAAAAAATACTGCAAAAATACCGATAAAATACTGAAAATACCGAAAAATATATATGCAAAATGTGGAAAATATATATTATTCCAAATATATATACACATACTTAATGGATACTGTAATACAACACAGATTTCATGACGAAGAACATGCGAATCTATTAAATGCAATGTGGCTGATAGCGATAACATTTTTGAGTGTTGGTTTCGGTGATATTGTTCCGAATACGTACTGTGGACGTGGTATCGCTGTCAGTACAGGAATAATGGTGAGTTTTTAACCTACAACTACAACAAAAAAAAAAAAAAACCAAAAATATACCAAAAAAAATACTATTTTTTTTAGTCGAAAAATTCAAAAAGAAACTGTCCAACAACTGCACACACATCAAATTAGCAATTCAAATTAACTGTTTCTAATCGAACATCTTGCTCATTTCGTTTATCGATATTTGGGCTTATCGATAACTCATTTGTAAATAATTGCATTTAGCTCTACAACAAAAATATGAAACCAAACTCACTGGAAATAAAAACAACAACAAATTAGTCAGCAACGTAATACACCCATCCAACCTTCAACCTAACCCACGCCACGCCCAACGCCCAACGCCCCACGCCCCCTCTAGATTAGTTTTACTAATTAAGTACTTATATCATGTACTTCCGTCATATTATACTACCACATACAAACATACATGCCTACATACATGCATATCGATAACACATTGTACATCTATAGAGCCGATAACCGAGAGGGCTACGAGATATTCCAAAACTCACGCTTTTCACTCATCTGTCCTGTCGCGTTGGATCTGGATCTGGTTGGCAGTATGAATAATAATATGCATGTGGTATTATTCAACACTTATCGTTATCGATATGTTATCAAAAACGGGGCCGTTACACTCAACTCACTCTACCCCCTACCTCTATTTATCTATCTCTCTCTCTCTTTCTCTCTCTGTCTCTTATTCTTTCTCTCTTTATAGTATAAATTAATTTCTTGGCTCTATCCTTAACTCTTACTTATTATTAGATATATGCGTCTCGCTCTTGCTTGCTCGCTCTCTCTCCCTCTCTCTTTCTCTCTCCCAGTCTTCCTCTTTCACTGCTTCTCTCTCTCTCTCTCTCTCTCTCTCTCTCTCTCTTTTTACATGCATATTGATCATGTCGTAGTCTTTGAAGTTGAAATTGTCATACAAAAAAATACCTTTAAAAAGTATAAAAAAAATACTAAAAATCTTAATACTAAAAACTCTAAGCTCTGAAAAATCTTTAATCTCTAGACTCTTTTGTTACGTATGTGTGTACCTAAAAATACTAACACAAACACAGCTCTAACTGTTGTATTACATATAGACAACTTTGGGAACGTATTCTGATTCTGATTCTGATCTACATATATAAATATATATATATATATATATATATATAATTATATAGAGATATATATATATATGTATAATTAATGTATAATATATATATATATATATATATTTCCAACTAATTTGCGACAGCATTTGGAGTAAGCCACATCTAAACATTGCACTCAATCTCAGTCATTTCATACAATACGATCTAACTGCTCTCCTGCATTCTCATCTCTTCGCATTTCTCGCTCATTTCTATGTGATTCAAAGAATTCGAATTCGAAAACAATACAAAATCCGTACAACAAATTTCCATAGGCAGAGGCGACAGGAATACGAAAACAAACCAAAAAAAAAAAAAAAAAAAAAACACAACTAAAATTATTGAGAGGCAACAAAAGTTCTGGACTTAAAACGAATCATTTCTATTTCTAATCCAAGACAATTAACTGGCATTAAAAGAAAAAATACCAAAACGAAAACCGAATACCGAAAACCGAAAAAGAAAACACTCTACTAAACGACTGATTCAATCATGATTGACTGCCCACTGGCCAAGCGAAGTCCAGATGCAACTTGAAGCCATTTTGTGGCTCAACTTGCATCTGGCTCAGCCAGCGGCAGTGCACTCAATGCAACTATCTGAAAGAAAAATACTCCAAAATACCATCTCTATGTGATTGTCTAATGTCGATTTGCTCTACTATCGTTTTACAGGGTGCTGGCTGTACGGCTCTACTTGTCGCTGTCGTATCACGCAAGCTGGAGCTGACCCGTGCCGAGAAGCATGTGCACAACTTTATGATGGACACGCAGTTAACAAAAAGGGTATAGATCGTCTCCATAAATAGTAGCCACATTTCTTTTTTAAATACCAACAACAAATGCCCGAAAGTACCAACAAGTCCAAGTAACTCCTTAGAGTACCATACCATCCATACACGGACGTAACTTAGTCAAATTTACAAAAACATACCAAAAAAATACTACTAACTCTATAAAGTACCGTTACACTTAGACATCTTAGTAAACTTAGTAAAATACCAACAATGACAACAAAATACCGAAATACAACCAGCTAACTGTAAAGAGTAGACTGAGTACTTGAACTTAATGAAATACAAAAAAAAATACCAACAAAAACTACTTAACTGAATTCTAGAGAGTACCGTTACACACAGACTTAACACCAATGACCGAAAGCTTAGCTGAAGAACTGAAATTTGAATGAAGACTTTGACTTGGACTGACGAAAGATATTGGGTGATTGAAAGAGTTCCGTTAGACAGACGTTTAATAGATCGTTTGGCTTTACTCAGTACTCTCGTAGAATAGAGGAACACAACTACCCCACAACTCTAATGATTTCTAATAATTCATTTCTTCTCATAAAAATATAGCTGAAAAATGCTGCGGCGAATGTTCTACGTGAAACTTGGCTCATTTACAAACATACAAGACTAGTAAAACGGGTTAATCCCGGCCGTGTAAGAACCCACCAAAGAAAGTTCCTTCTAGCTATATATGCGTGAGTATTTTTAGAGATCTATCAACAATATCAACAACTAACTGTCAGAACCACCAACAAATATAAATCAATATCTATAACGAGAATTTGTAACTGAAAAAAAAAAACAACAACTGAATCCTCTATCAAATGAAAGGACTCAAGCAATAAAATATATCCTATATATATATATATATATATATATATTTATATGTATGTATATGTATATGTATATATATATATATATAGTTAATAGATCTGTTGTACAATGCAACCATATAGCCTGAACGAAATCCCAACCAAAGCTCCGTTACGAACAGCTCAACAAAGTGCGACTAAACCCTATCATCAAAATCACAATTTTCAAACAATTTTTGGTTATGTTCTTGTCCTTTGTCCAACTGTCCATACATGTGCGTCTATATATACCTAACTGTGTGTATGTGTGTGTGTGTGGGTCTGTGTGTGGGGCACCTATTGTACGGCGTAATGCTTCTACCGTTAACTGCAATTAATAGCGATTATCGATCAATGTTATCGATAACTGTTAGTGATCACCTGGCTGTGAAGCAATTATCAATAATATGTTATCGATAACTGTTGTCTGCTAAGATTTTCGAAAACTATTATCGATTTCTTTTATCGATAACTACTGTTTATTAATAGCTGCCGTCGACAAATGTAATTGAAAGCTTTTTTAGATAACTGCAATCGATAATTGTTACCAAAAATTCTTATCGATCATTATTATTGATAACTGTTACCACTACTTGTTATCGATAGTTATTATTGATTTGTGTTATGGATAATTGATGTTGGCTACCGATATCGATATCTATAAATCATAGCTTGGATCGATATCTGTTTTTAATAAATATTATCGTCAACTGTTATCGATAGTTTTTGCCGATAGCTGTTTATAATGACTGTGTTGACAACAGCTGATGACTTTTATTTATATTTGCTTTCAATAACAAGTTCCAGCAGCTCTTATCGACAGCTGTTATCGAACTTAAGACAAGCATTGCTTTAGCACATTATAAGGCGAAAGCTTTTAGCCAATATCCGAATATCCTCAAAGCAGTGCAAATTGAGTTTTTGACCCATTGCAGTATATAAATATTCGAAGGGTATTAAAGAATCCATTGAAGATTGCGCATATTTGTCAAGTGGGTCTCACATTTCAATTGGCGTGCCCCAAAAAGTATGCTAAAAAATTTGCAACTCCCAATGCATTCGGTCTGGTAGCTCGCGCGTATTTCCCCTCAGAGCTCAAAACTATATCCAAGCTTTCTTCTTGTTCAGTTTTTCATTTTGTTTTCTGCCTAGCAATCATATCGAATCGTAATGTGAATGTGAAGAGTCTGCTTCTATATACAATATATGCTCTATACCATCCCAAATGTACATAGAATTACCGAACTAATGCGATAATGAACAGCAATCAATGAGTGCAATAACCAACTAAAAATCAAATCAATTAATCAAACAACCAAAAAGCTATGAAAAAAATCTACATATTTAAATGATTGAACTCGTTTTACTAGCCTGTAAATAGGTTGTAAAGCCCTGTTTTTACGTTATGATAATACCGAAAACTAGCCACAAATACCTAGCATGCAGCGTTAATATTCCAGAAACTCATATCTAAAACTTTCGACAGCTTTTGCAACACTCAAACTGAATCAACACTAGAGACCTTGTCTAGATATCCTATACATACATCTAAATATATATATATAACTCATGCCTACATACATCTATATATGAGAGCTTTTGTAGCTGTCACACTAAAAAGCTTTATAATCAGCTTTCAAGCTTTGCCTCAATATATTCAACTAAGTTTGAGGCAGCTTATCAAATGAGCTTTTCATTGAGCTTTTTAGGCGCCAGCTAAAGCAGCTTTTAATACAACTTTTAATTGCAAGTCTTTAGGCAGGCTTAAAAGCAGCTAAGCTTATTATATCAAACGCTTATTAAGCAGCTTTCAAACCAAATTCTACTAAATATTTTAAACCGACAGCTCAAAGCTAATTTTAATGCCCTTTTTCATCCAAATACTGAGCAGCTTTGCAAGCTTTGTCATACTTCTGCTAAAGCAGCTTTCATTAACCAGCCTTTAGGCAGTTTTTAAAGCATTTCTATGAGCTTTTAAATCACTTTTCAATAAAGACATAAAAGCTTTTACTAATTCGAAACACCAGCTTTAATTGCTTCAATAACTTTCAAAGCAGCTTTTCAAGTCGTTTTTCAGCACAAGATTTATGATTGAAATCATGCTCAAAATAGAGAAAAGTAGCTTTTAGCTCACATGTAGTTCGCTTATTATCGTAAATAAATAAAGATATATATATATATATATATATATATATATAGATGGAAATCAACAAAATGTAAAGAGCCCTTTGCCTGTTGATCATTTCTGATACGATTTTCTGCAATCTTAACGCTAAACCAAAAGCAACTAAAACAAAATAAAACAAAAAAAAAAACAAATAAAAACACAAACTTTTTATTTTGGCAAAAAAAAAAACAAACAAAAAACACTTTAAAGCACAAAAAAAATATTTAAAAAAATGCACAACATTTTCAGAAACTAAATTGTTTTTATTCTTGTATTTACTCACAATCAAACAGATATATATATATATAGATATATATATATAGACATATATATGTATCCATATATCATATGAATCTATAGATCGAGGCAATGTCCGTTCTCAAACTCGAGCATTGCTACATCAATGCATTGCTCGATCTATCACAATGATCAATGAATGATGTAACGAAATAATGAACTAGATCTTGTTTGTCTATATTCAATAATATCGTTTATAAACTTGATGATTCTTCCCCCCGCCTGCCACTAGGTTGCGAAAGGTTAAAATGGATCAACGCAAACTAATGGATAATGCAAACACAATAACCGATATGGCCAAGGTAGTTAACAGTCCCCAATACTTCAGTCTTGCAATTTTAGTATTATTTATATTTAAAAAAAAAACAACCAAAAAATACCAAATATTTTCATCGCAGACACAAAATACGGTCTATGAAATAATATCGGAAATGTCGAGCCGGCAGGATGCCATTGAGGAGCGCCTAACGAATCTAGAGGATAAAATGCAAAGTCTACAAGTGAGTAGAGCTCGAGTTTGGTTATCGATAGTTGTTATCGATTACTGATCCTTCGCTTTCTTCTTCTTCTTCGTTTCAGGAGCACATGGAAAGCCTTCCAGATCTATTATCGCGTTGTCTGACTCAGCATCAGGAGCGCATCGAGCAACGCCGCAACTTTCTACACCCGGACACAGCAGCCGCTGCCATTCAGCCATCGATTCAGCCGCCCACGCCCCAATCCATGTTCAATGCGGCCCCCATGCTGTTCCCCCACTCTAGGTAAGTGCCACACTAACCATATTCGCAATTAGCTTGTGCATTGCATCATCGTCATCGTCATCGTCATCGTCACCATCATCTTCATCGTCATCGTCATCGTCATCGCTCGCACATATCATTTGCATTACGCAAATAGTTGAAGTCCACTAGATATTCAACTGCATGACTTCAAATCGATAATCCAATTTTTAATTGTAATTTCAACTTGAAAAATTGGCTCAAGTTTAAGCAACACACAATTGTGCACAGACTATCGATCAGCAACTGATCAGTTCAAGCCATACACTTTATATCAGCAAGTCAATCATTTGGTGCTATCGATATATGTATACCTCGATAACATCGATTATTTATTGAGTATTGATATATATATATATCGACTAAAAGTTATCGATTGAGCAAGCCTACTTAAATACCTATAGCCAATCGATAAAATCATCTCTTAAACAATCGATAACAATTAATATAAATATTTATATAAAATATATAAATATTTTTGCTGTCTTAGTGGCTACTGATATATCGATATGTTGACATCTATCAAGCAATCGATAACCATGCATATTTATTAATGATCGATATGTATCGATATATTGTAGCATGTCAACGCAATATTATATATCGATATATGGTCATTGTTTTTTTCGATTTAATATTTATAAACTATCGATATATCGTTATCGTCTGCCAATCACATAGCGAACAAGCAAATGCAGTTAACTGTCTATTAACAGCTTACCTTACCTCAACGATATTTATCGCTATCGAAACCAAGTCAGCCCTGACAGCGTTCAGTGGACTTCAACTATCGATATACATTTGTTGTTTTCATTTACCCCCTTCTGTTCTATGTTTATTTGTCGTTTTTTTTTGTGTGTGTGTCTGAGTCACTGTGAGAGTCCAAGTAGTTCCAGTTGTTTGCAATAGATCGAACTCACCGAGAACCCAACAATTCCCCAACATCAAACAAATTTTGTGGCATTTTCTTCTTCTATGCAAGATGCATGTGATTATTTTTGAGAAAGCTGAGAAAGCTGAGAAAGCCGAGAAAACGTGAGAGAGTGTGTGTCTGTGAGTGCTATCAATTTGCATTTTGGAATTGGAAGAGTAAAAAGTAAAGAAAGTGCTGAGAGTTGATTTGATTGGTTTGAAAATGCATTCCATATGGCTTTTTTATCTCATTTCATAGAGCTATAGCTATCTTTTGGCATATTGATCGAGCTCACACACATTGAACCATTAACATAATCTAATGCTAATGATAATGAATTGATAATTGTTGATTAATAATGAAAACAAAAATAGTAAAAACGCCGCTCTTTTCCGGTCGCAAAGCGAATCTAATTGAGAATTAATATATATATATTATATATATACTGCTTTTTGCATAGAAGTGTACCCTCATCCAATAACGCCGCTGCTACTTACCATTGGCCAACAAGCCCTATTTTGCCACCTATATCTAGTAGAACACCACATTTAGTGCCTGATACTCACATGCCATCAAATGGATCTGCAGTTAATAGCTACGCATCTTCCAACAAATACGGCAGCTGAATATCAGACAGAGAGCGCTCCAACTCCGTGATTAACATTGAGATGCATCCATTAAGAGCCATGACAACGACCGCAGAACTAACATCAGCTATTACTAAAACTGGAACAACAACTGGAACAACTGGAACAACTGGAACAACTCGAACCACAATGCCCATGTCCAAATCGATGTCGCCAACGAGAACAACAACAACAACAACAACATTGCTGGAGACGGCGCTGCGACAGCGTTTCCACTCGCCCACATCGTCGATGGAACGGGAACAGCTCATCGAACTGCAACACTATCAATCGATGCATCAGCAGCACCAGCATTCGTATTCGCATTCGCATTCGCACTCGCATCAGCGCATCGTTGAGAGCATTAGCATACCAGCTATACCCGAAGATGTTGAGAGTCATCCGATAACAGGCGATGTCGATATCGATATCGATAACGATGCGACTGCGACTGCGGCTGCGGCTGCGATGACAGCGTCGTTGGCCACAAAGATCACCGAGAATAAGTTTACTAGAAAAAGAGAACGTATATGCAATAATAGTAGTAATAGTAACAATAGTAATAATAGTAATAATACCAGTAATAGTAATATTAGTAATTCTACAAGTCTAGTTTCGAAATCGGCCTTTTGTAAATAGATCCACTTCGAAATGGGAAAGACAAAAGTCAAATGTTAGCATATACATATATAGCTGTATATATATATACATACTATATATATATATATATACATATTTGAATAGTGTTTTTTTTTTCTAAGTCTATCTAGTAAATTGGATTGGAATTACCTAGCATAAAGTTCAAATATAAGCAGGTGTGAAAGGTAAAGTTGAATGAATGAATGAAGATCGATAAACACAATTCAAGCCAAGTCTGCTAAAAGAGAGAAAGAGAGAGAAAGTGGGGGAGAGTGGGAGAGTGGGGGAGTGGGAGAAGTAGAGTGGGAGATCGTGGGAGAGAGAGCAAAGCTTCTTAAACCATAGAAAATGCATAGAGTTGACTATAATAGAACTATGTTAGATTAAACTAAACTAAACTAAGCCGTAAGTTGTTAGCAGTCGGGCAAAGCCGACTGCACAATGCTCGCCCACAGATAATAGCGCTATAAAGTGTAAAAGGGATTCTGCCTGAGTCTAGCTTCAATTATGTTTGCCACGCCTCCCTAGAGGAGGCCAGTCCGTAGTAGCAGCCAAAGTGAGCCGAATTCCAAGACTTAAGACACATATGCCCAGTTTGAAGCATGTGAGCGAGTATCACAATAACTATTAAGGCTTTGACAGCGTTTCCCATTCACACTTTTAGTTGAGATCCAATTGACTTGGCCAAAAAGCAGAACATTGTGTGTGTTAATAAATCAGTGTGTGTGTGTGAGTGTCTGATTGCTGTTGTTGTTTTTTTTTTGGTGTGTGTCTGCTGCATATATAGGTAACATAGCATAGTATATACTAAAGATGTTAATACGAGTATTCAAATTGTTTTAGGCAATAAAAAATTCAACTAGGTTCAACTAAAATGTTGCTATATATACATATATATACATATATATGTATATATATGATATATATGCTAAAAATAGCCCAAAAGCAAACAGCCCAAGAATTAGAAACTCAATTAAGAACCTGACTAGCTTTTGAGAGAGTTACGAGATGAATAAAAACTAAATAAAAAACAAATAAAATAAATGAAAAAAAATAAATAAAAAAATAAAAAAAAATTAGTCAAGTAAAATGAATTTTAATTGAATTTTGTAATATATTTAAAAAAAAAAGAAAAAACTAACAAAACAAAAAATAATTCAATTAGTTGTAAAGAAAAATACCAAAAAAATACCCAAAAAATACTAAAGCATAAAATTAGTTTCTAGTTTATAGACGAGTGGCACAGCTACGAAAGTTTTTCTAAAGATTCTAAAAGGAAATGAAGTATTAACTGCGAGCATCGAAGTTAATTGTTTTTTTTAATAGGTAAATGAAGTAAACTTAAAAGAGAAATAGAAAAAAATTATATATATATATATATAGATATATATAACGCATAAACTATTAAAAGCTTTTAGGCGTGTCGCAAGTAAGTAAAGAAAAAAGTAAAAAAAAAACGTATAAAAAATTACTAAACAAACATCAGTAAAAGAGTTCAACAAGTTTTACAACTGAATTCCCCGAAAAGCCTATGCCAATGAGAGAAAATAAATTACAAAAAAAAATACCAGTTAAATCGAATGGATCAAACCCCCCTTAAACAAACAAAATACCCAAGTAGAACTTCGCAACTGATCGAAAAAAAAAAAGAGAAAATAAATTTCAGCTCGTTTAGCTAAAGAAAACTTGTACCAAGCGCTGCAATAGAAATGCGTCAATTATAGCCAAAAAAGAAGAAATTTAGTTGTTTTTTGGTATTTACTAAAAAATTTTGATCACATTCCAAATTAGTTTGCAGAGCTTCAAGATCAAATTCAATTCGATATCAATTGCTGGTTTTGCTTCAACGATCTGGCAGCACTGAACTCGGCTACTCATTAAGTTGGCTGCGCCAGAGCGTCAAAGTGTGTGCATTAAGTTGGCTGCGACAAAGGACATTTCATAAAAAATATGTAAATCGATTGAATTTCGTTGCTTTTCATATTTCTGGCTTGGGTAAAAACCAAATAAAAGATGAAAAATATATATTCATATTGCCAGTTGCAGTAAGTCCAACGATAGACGCAACAATGATTTGGAAAGTAGAAAATTGACTAAAGATGGGAATGATGAACAAGAAAAAGCAAAACCAAAAGAAGCCCTTAAAAAATGTATACCTATTTATATAATATTGAATATTTAAATTGAAATGAACGTTCAAGACTGCTGTCAAAATAGCTTTATCACAATATATAAAACACACACACACACATACACACATACGCACACGCACACAACACAAAGGAAGTCTTAAATGCAAACAAACATGCCCATTTTGGCAAGGGTACAGGGTAGACAGAGAGAGAGAGGGAGAGGGAGAGGGAGAGAGATGCAGAGCGCGAGAGCTTGAAGTATGCCCAGCTTTAATGGTTTATAAACTATATAAATGCACATTTGGGTTTCAACACCTCAACTAAACAACAATAACAACAACAACAACAAGAACAAGCAGAACAAACAGAACAACAAACATATATAGAACATATATAAACAAGAGACAAAATTTTTTCCCGCGTATGAACTGGTTTCCTTAACAAACAAACACAATACCTTTAACAAAATGAAAATCTTTGATATGAGGGACCGAAATTTCAAGACAGGTCTTAAATTATACAAAAACGAAAAGAAAAAACTGAATTAGAAGCAAGAGCAAACCCAACATATATATATATATATATATATATATATATATATAACTAAACTAATTTAATCTTAACTAAACCAAGTTTACATAGGCTGCATGGTACGCAGGCAGCAAAAATCAAAAAAAGAAAATACCAAAAACCAAAAGTCGAAAAATCGAAAAATCTTTAATAGTCATAGATATATATTGATATATATGTATAGATGTATCTACTTTTCTAGTGCTAAAATACCAATTTATAGAGCCCAACTTTTTAGGCAGTTTTTTTTCATTTGTTTCTTGTTGTTTTTTGAATAGAGATTTTGTTTGTTGTTCTTGGTTCTAAAGACGACAGTTGTGCACACTCTATATGTGCATGTGTGTGCATGAGTGTGTGGGTGTGTGTGTGTGTGTGCGTGTGTGTGTCAGTGTCACAAAAGCTTCAGTTCACAGTTTCCCAGCTAAATGAGAGCGACAAGTGCAAAGCGAACAAGCGAAAGAAACCTAAAGATGAAGAAGAGTTTTTTGGTAATATATTTACACTGTGCAACACAGTTCAACAACAAGAACAAAAACACAGCAACACCCAACACTAACAACGTGGATTAACCATAGAAAAAACTCGAACTCAACACGAAAATGAACGAAAACACGTCAAAGGAAAAACATAAAAAAAAAATATATATACTATATATACTATATATGTATATGTATATACTATATACAAAGAACAACATACTATATACTATATACTATATATAGAAAGATCATATTTGACCTTACATTGTATTATAGAAATGTATTCAGAACTAGTCGAACGAAAGCCGAAGCAAAGACCAATTTATTAAGCATAAACAAAAATTATGTTAAACTAAACAATTAAACCGATATATATACTCTATATATATATATATATATATATTTAAAAACAAAAATGAGAAACAATTTTTTTATTAAAAAAAAAAATAATTAAAAAAAAAACAATTTAAAAACCACAAGCTAAACTAATCCAAAAATTAAATGCTAAAAAAAAAACAAAAAGTTTCTAAAAGAAATAAAAGCTAAAAACAAAAATATTGAAAACAAAAAAAAATAAAAAAAATGGCTAAATAGTTTATTTTGAATTTACAATATTGTATATTTCAATTCAAATTGTTATATATATATATATATATATATATATGTATATATATATATATATATATATATATATATATATATATATATATATATATTTTAGCGAGAAATCGTGTTTTGCAAAAGCTTTAATATTTAGGGTGCCTACATTTGCTAAATTAGTATTTTACGATTAAAAAAAAAACGAAGTGAAAGAGGAAACACACTTACAAAAATTCACAGACACACACACATATACACACACACATCTAGACACATACACACACACATATAGACACAGTTATATATACATATATTAGCAGACGAACATAAATGAAATTTTAAAAAACTAGTTCTTAAAAGCGTATAAACAAAATGTTTTTTTTTGTCTAAAAAAAATACCAAAAAAAAAATTTTAAAACAAGCAAATAAAAACAATTACTAAAATATATATATATATTTATATATATTATATATATTTCAGTAAAGAATTTGAAACATGTTTTCTTAGATTTACAATTTGTTATTTCACATATATATATATATATATATGTATATATATATATACATATACATACATGCATACATATATGTTTGTGTGTATGTGTGTGTGTGTGTATGTAGCATAAACTGATCTGATTTTTTTTGTTGCTCATTAAGCATTTACCTCATAAGAATTCCCCCACTAAATATTTATAGCAAATTTACCATTAAATAAAAAAAAATTAAAAAAAAAAAAAACAAAAAAAAAACAAATTGTACTGTTATAATGTACACAGAAAACGAAAACAAAAATTTATAAAAATAATAATAAACACTAATTACAAGAGAGAAACAAAAAGAAAAATGGGAAGAAACAAAAAACAAAAATAAAAAAAAAACCAAAACAAAAAACATTAAGTAAAAGTTGTAAATTATTAATTTATGAAGAAAAATTGAAAAATTTTAACATAATAAAGGGCTTTGTATGAAAAATTAGCCGAAATTGTCTTTGATTTAGCTGCAACTGTAAACTTACCCACTAACTGAAGAGATCTGATGGAATGGCTTGATTTTCGACTCAAATTTCGAATTCTTCTGAAACTTGCTTAGCCAGTTAAGCCCATGCCCACGCCCACTGGTAGGCGTGGCAAATTGTCCAAGCTATATATCCGTTGAAGCTTATATAGAACAGCTGATCAGTTGAGATCTTAGCACACTATCTAGACTGACCCAGTAAGCGGGTTACTATTATCGATAACAATATTATCGATAGCAGAGAACTATTGAAATATCTAGTTAGCCTTGCCATTTGCACATGTATTATGACCCACGACGCATCCCTAAGCCAGGCACTCCTCAGGTGAGCTGGCCATGCGGCTCACTTGGCAACTTGAGGCAACAATCGGCTGAAGATTGGTCAGATGCGCAGAGCTATAGCCGGTTGGCTTAGATTGGAATTAGCTATATTGAAACTAAATTATAATATATAAATATAATTTATTGCAATTGCCGATTATAATAATAAAAAAACATTCTAAAATATTTACGACTATAAAATATTAGTAAAATTGTACAAGTTGCTATATATATTACAGTTATACAGTTATATATAAATATATATACATATATATTTACTTATAGTTAAATACACATACATAAAGAAAGAGCTCTGACCAATCAGTTGTGAAAATCTTTGTGCTTTTTGATTGCTGAAAATAATTTGTAAGTTAGGCAAATCGAAAGGACATAGAACTAGGCATACGTTTTATATGGACAGTACAATCTGTTTAATCTCTGGGCCTATTTGCCGCACAGGTTGCGCAGCTTCTGCTGGAAGAAGCCAAACTTATTCGATTTCGCTTGGTTCGCCCGTTTGGCAGCCAAATCGCTTTTGAAGAGCAGCCAAGCGTGACGATGCTCTGGATTCGCAGGACCCCACTTGCTGCTGGGCCTCAACGAGGCCATGAACGACTGCAAAGGTATGATTGGTCACAATCTGGGCGCTCGTTTAATATATATTTCCGACCTTACCTTGGCGAAGCTGCCACGCCTGTGGGTCGAGATGTACCACCAGCCCCAGAGCGGAAACTGGGCAGCGCCCACAACGAAGAGCAGCCAGCCCGCAACTATATAAAGCATAGAAATATTAGCTAGACACCTGGCTATTCCACACCTGGCTATTGGCTTACCATCGCCAGCAACGGGAAAGTAGAGTTCACTGTATTTGATCGGCTTTATAGTTGCCATCGAGTAGATGAATATCACGATCATCATAACTGGCGTGAAGAAGGACCAACAGAGGCGCCAGTACAGTGAAACCTTCTTGTTGCTCATGAACTCGAGGTCATCGCAAAAATTCTCAAGGCCTGCGAAGGGATTAAAATATGAATGGCATGGATGTAAGCTTATCAAGAGGCTGCCTGGTATAGGCTGGCAGATACATATGGTAAGAGACAACTATATATATACACATGAGAAGCAGATACATATGCGATAGCAGCTAGATAGAGATAGATAGACACAGATAGAACTAGATATAGATAGAGACAGCTATATGAGCTGGGCGATATATTAGATGATAGACACAGCTATATCCCCTGGGAGATAGATAGATAGAGTGAATATAGTCATGGACTTTCTCTAGGCCCTTGCCCTCGCTGCTTTGCCCAGCCTTACCGTATATCCACATAATGCCCGACAGCTCGAAAATGGCCAATATGAAGACCACATAGGTTCCTCCATAGAAATCGACTAGGGTCAGGATCCATTGACCGCCCTATGCACGGGAAAATAGAAGTGAAACAAAATATTTTATTTAAGTCAAGACTTCAGCCTCCATAGAAAACTGCAGGCTAGACGTACCGGCGTTACGTAGACCAAGCCCATGAGGAAACCGCAGATGGATGTGACCAGCGCTACCTTCCAATACTTCCACGACTTGAACTGATCACAGATGATGGTCACAATTGTGCTCTGCAGCGCTACAATCGATCCGATGCCCAGCACGAACAGCATGAAGAAGAAGAGCGCCGAGAAGAGCTGCGGCACCGCCTGAAATTTCGATATCGCATCCGGATATGAAATGAAGGCCAAGCCAGTTCCACTTCGCACCACATCCCGGATATTGTCCGCCTTCAGATTGTGCGCCAAGTTTCCAAGTATGGCAAATATGGTAATGCCACCCAGCAGACTGGTCAGCGTATCCAAGGTGGTGACAATCATGGCGTCTCTATGAGAAGATCGATAAACATTGCCAGAGTTATTGATGGAGTTTGATAGATTGAAGGATATAAACAATGTTGGATCTAATTAGTGTTTGATAGATTGAGCTGAGCAGAAAGAGTTTACGCGATATATTGAAGCAACGAGTTCATTAGATAGTGATCGATAAATTATGTTCGATAGAAAGATGAAGTAGATAAAATTCGATAGATAAAATTCGATTGATGTATAATACTAAATATATAGCGATCGATAAAAAAGTTCGATAGAAAGAATTCAATGGACGGCTCTCGATTGGTAGTGATCGATAGATGAAACGTGATTATAGTTATCGCTTTACGTACGAAAAAATGATTCGATAGAAAACTTTTCATAGATATCGATATATAAATGAAGCTCGATAGATATTGAAATTGATAGACAAAGTTGCATAGTTATTGATCGATAATTACGTTCGATGTAAAAAATTTAAGAGAAGTTCGATAAATCGTGTTTGATACTTAAAGATTGATAGATAAAGCTTGATAAGCAAAGATCAATTTAAAAAATTCATTAGACAGTAAAATAAGCTCAAAAGATCGATAGCTTCCGATAGATAAAGCTTGATAAATGATCGAGTGAAGAGTTTATGCCTACTGATAAAGTTTCATACAGATCGATAGATACAGCTCAATGGAGAGAGTTAAATAAGAAGAGTATGATATCGATAGCTGCTATCGATCAATGTAGTTCGCTATCCATATATGTACGATGATAGAGGTGCACTCACCTGTAAATGCCATGATCAAATCGATTGTAGGAGGCGAACATGATGATGGGGCCACAGCCCACGGCCAGCGAGAAGAAACACTGGACGACAGCCTCCTTCCAGACGATGGGGTTCAACAGCTCGCCCCATTGGGGCCGCAGAAAGAAGATGATGCCGTCGACGGCGCCCTCCAAGGTGACGGCTCGGCCCAGCAGGGCAAAGAGCACGACGTAGGGGAACAGGGCCAGGAAATAGGCCGCCTTGCCGGAACTCTTCACGCCGCGCATTATCACCAGGAATATGACGACCCACGAGACAAACAGCGCAATGGTCAGCTTCCAGTCGGGCGCACCGATGCCATCTGATATGTCCGACTTCTCCTTGATGACAACATTACTTTAAAAAAAACAGAGGCAGTCCAATATATATATATATATACTCTATTTACCGATCAACTTACAGAAAGTAGAGCTCGGAGCTGCTCCGCAGCTTGGTATCGTTCGTCAAGCTATTCGCCTCCCGAGCCAATGCCGAGGTGGTGTTCGCCAATGCAGTCTCCACATACTCGGTTGGTATGGAGTTCACGCAGTTGGCCCACTCGTCCCGGCAATAGGACCAAGGCAGCTCCGATTGAAACGACACGAACAAGTAGTACAGAGTCAAGGCCAACAGCGATGAGTAATACGTAACGATGCAGATTGTGGCAAAGGCCTGACCATAGCCGACGCCCAGAAACGACGGACATATGGACCAGATCTTTACCGTGCCTTGACTCGTAAACTGTCCAATTATCATCTCCAGATAGTACATGGGTTTGCCTAATGGAATTTCATTATTCATTATTCATTATTTATTATTCATTATTATTATTGTTATTGTTATTGTTATTATTATTAATATTGTTACTATCATTATTATTATTGTCATCATCATTATCATCATCATCCTCATCATCAGCATTATACATCATCATCATCATCATCACCATCAGCATCATCATCATCCTCATCATCAGTATCGTCATCATGATAATCATCATCATCATCATCATCTTCATCATCATCATCTTCATCATCTTCATCATCATCATCATCATCATCATCATCATCATCATCATCATCATCATCATCATCATCATTATCATTATCATCATCCTCATCATCATCATCATCATCATCATCATCATCATCATCATCATCATCATCATTATCATTATCGTCGTTATCGTCATCATCATCATCATCATTATCATCATCATCATCATCATAATCATCAACAGAGTCATCATCATCATCATCACCATCATCATCATCATCATCATCATCATCATCATCATCATCGTCATCATCATCATCATCATTATCATTATCATCATCCTCATCATCATCATCATCATCATCATCATCATCATCATCATCATCATCATCATTATCATCATCCTCATCATCATCATCATCATCATCATCATCATCATCATCATCATCATCATCATCATCATCATCATCATCATCATCATCATCATCATCATCATTATCATTATCGTCGTTATCGTCATCATCATCATCATCATTATCATCATCATCATCATAATCATCAACAGAGTCATCATCATCATCATCATCATCATCATCATCATCATCATCATCATCATCATCATCATCATCATCATTATCATCATCATCATCATCATCATCGTCATAATCATCCATCATCCACCATCATCAACCCTAAATTCAGCATTCATTCATTCATTAATCATCATCAACATTCATTCATCGTCATCATTCATTCATTCATCAATCATCATCATCATCATCATTCACATTAGCCTTATTATCAGCATTACAATTACATTATGACTTGCGACATGATTATCAGCTTTGGCATCATCATAACTATTATGATTAGCTTACAACGGTATACTCACCGATCAGGAATAGCACTATGATATATGGTATAAGAAATGCGCCTCCTCCATTCTCGTAGGCAGTGAAAGGGAAGCGCCAGACGTTGCCCAGGCCCACAGAGACGGATATGCAGGACATTAGGAATTCCAGGCCATTCGACCAATTCGTGCGTCCCGCATCCTTTTGCTGTGCCTCCTTCATATTATTCTAAGGAGATAATCATATAATATACGTGAAGAGTTGCCAGACTACTCAAAGTTTCCTATGTGTTCATATGATATATGATAATATTCCATGACTCTCTCCCCCGCTCTATCTCTCTCTCTCTTTGGCCCTCACGTGCCTAGTCTTATTTAATAGATTACCTAATCATCTATCTCTATCGCTTGGCTAGGCAAATGCCTCTCCTATCAGATCATCTTCCATCGCCTCTCGAGTCGCGCCCTCTGTATCTCTCTAGGCATTATCTAATTTGATGAGCTGGAATTTAAGTTCGGTCAATGTTATCGCATTTAGAGTTGATATTTGATTTATTTAATGCCTTGTTGATGTTTGCACATAATTCTCGCAGACTCAAGTGCAAATATTTGGGCGCTCGACTTGCAAAGAGCAAAGGCAGAACTTCTGCAAGAAATCTAACAAAATTCGCAGTTGACACTTGATACTGGGAATTCGCTAGATAAGACACATCTATGCGATTATACGATGACTGAGAGTGTACCGAAATAGCTACATTCTAAAGTTGGACAAGCAAGACTCTTGCCGTCGGATGGGATCAAGAGTAACGTTAAAGCATCTCAGATATGACTCTGCCAGGCAACTTAATCGACGGAGATTCATCTCTTTTAGACGAGTAAAATATCCAAACTCTCCAGATATGGGTCAGATGAACGCACAGCAATGCGGAAATTCCACAAAGCCAATATACTCTAATCACTTCATGAACGAGTATAATAAACGCCTTCACTAAATTCTATTTTCGTTCTTGTTTTTTTTTATAGCACCCATAAAAATCGTTAGCGCCTTTATCTAACTTTGATTTTTCACTTTATACTTTTTATACTGCTCGATCATAGTCTACCTAAAGCGTACTACAATAATTTATCACAAAATGTGACAAATTGTTGACTTTGCTGAGTTCGATTAGGTATTTAGTACGAGGAAAATCAGAGTATAATATATCTAAAAAATCTGATTAAATTGAAACTGATTGCTATAAATGAGAATCATATACGATAGCCAATTTATAGCCAGCTACAGTTGCGATACAGATTATGGGCCCCAATATAGTTAGTCAGTCAAATTTTACAATTTACTAGGAAGATATACCTTGATTAAAGCTGAGCCGCACAAGCAGCAGAGAAAAAAATTTTGATTTAGGGCTTTGATAAGATAGCAATTTTAATGGTCATGTGACAGTGAATTTTGATTTATCTGACTTGAAAAAATAAAAAATTTGAAAAAAAAAAATCCTAAGAAAAATCTCAATTTCTCACGAGATTCGAACCCGAAGCCAATGCGCTGCCTCGCCAACGCCTCTCCCAAAGCGCCAGCCTAGCATTGCGCCGCCCGCTCTCAAATGCAAAATTAAAGCAAGCGAACGGCCAACAATTGTAAACAATTCACTTGCAAGTTTTATTCTATTTATAGCATTGCCATGTGAATGCACGCAGTTGAGCGTATGTGTACGTGCATAGGCAAACTGGCAGCGTTAATTGCCGCGTGGCTTAGCCAACCGAGCACAAGTTTCCTTTAATAACTTCTGTGTTTCGTAACGAATTTCCATAAAATTTTCGGCACATGTTCATAAGACTTAAATAGATATTTGTAGGGAACATAAAAAACTCAATCTTTCAAAAAAGCTGGAAAACATTTGCAATTTAACATTTACTTAGTAAATTTTGTAAAAAAAAAAAAAATATATTTACATATGTAAAAAATCAAAATTGCATTTAATAAACACGAAACTAAATGCAACATTTGGTAATTCTAGCGCTAAAAATATAAGAGTTATACGCAGAGTTTGTTTGCTTTTAATCGATTGCAATTTATCGATTATTTGACACAAGCTTGCTTTAGGGTAAAGAGAGAGAGAGAGACGAATGTACAGGGCTAGATCAAGGCGGCTGTTAATCATAATCGAGAATCTCTATATATGCTTCTTGGACTCTTAAAAGATTTTAGCAAAGTTCCAAAATTCAGTATTTCCCTAATGGGCTTAGAAATAGAAAAATAAACTTATGTGGAAACTACTGTGATAAAAGCAAAAACAATTAAACAACTGCATTGGCAGTCACATACATAGTTCACGATACAGCATACATATATACAGAAAGAGTCAGTGAGAGTGAGTGAGAGGGGGAGAGAGGGGCAGAGAGAGGGAGAGACATGCAAGTCATAAATATAATTGCAAATTGTTAGGAAAGCAAAATGTGAAACAAGCTTTGACTAATGCACGCTAGTATGAAAACCAGTTAGCCCAAGCAGGGCGAAGCTGCTCGATTAGAAAATACCCTAAACACAGCAAGCCAATTTTCTCTGACTTCAATTTATGTATTCTAAGTCTATCAAAGATGAGCGCTGCTCTTTTTTATAGGGTATCTGGCTAAAGTAACCTACAAAGTATCAGACTTGATTCATTTCGACTGTCGTAGAGCCAAGCTAAACCCAAAAATATTTATGTACATAATATAAGGGATTGCATAAGTCGATAATCATCGACATATATCAAATTATAAATTAGATAACTCAAGGAATAGATCAACTTTTGCTTGAATTTTAAAGCTCACACAACTCCTAATATACCCCATTGATATGCATTTTCAGAGAGGTATTCGGTATTCAAAACGCAGTTCGGAATAACCATAAACGCAAATAGCAGTGACTATTGATAATACTTACCATTTTATTATTGCAGTTAACCAGCGAAAAACCAGTTGATGAGTCAAATCAAGAAATTAAGAGCTAGAAAGCCCAGGAAATAACCCCCAGACTCAATGACTCAAGTCACTCAACAGTTATCGGAGGAGGGCCCTTAACGTTTCTATGAGTACCACTGTTTGGACAGCTTGCCAGAAAGTCTGTGCAAATACCATCATATAGATCGGCAACTTTAGCTGGGGCATTTGTGAATCGCAGAGCAAGGCGCAAGAGACTTTCTGGAATTTTTGTTTTTATTTTATTTTTCTTTTATTTTTTTGTTTTCGTTTTAATTGTAGTTCAAACACCTTGCGACATGTTTGCTTTATCACAATATTGTCAGACAATATATTTCAGATAGATGTATATATTTATAGATCTTAATTATCTGTAAAGAGCAGTGGAAGCAATTCACATGTGCCCCATTTATACTCAGAACTTATACAGTAAAAGAACTGAAAGATTCTCAATAAAAGCAACAGAGAAACACAGAATCAGTTGAACTTTTTGATTGAAATGTTTTGATTACAAATGCAATTTGTAAGAGCTAAATGCTCAACAAAGTGAGCTAACGATCAATTGATCATGCTGTCCATTGTTCTGAATGATCTACACAAACACAAAAGATCAGTTTGTTAGATGTGAGTGTTTTGCTTTTGGTTAATTTAAAGATCGATAAAGGCCGTCAAGGATCTACAATGGTCTACAGCCATCAAGTTTGTGCAATGATCAACAAAGATCTACAATGATCTATACTGAACTTTCATTGCCAATGTACAGTGATCTGCAATGATCAGCAAAGATCTACATTGATAAGCAAATATATATAATGATCTTGGATGATCCACACTAATATACAATGACATCAAATGCTCAACATTGATCAGCAAAAGTTGTAGATCATAATAGATCATTGTTGATCATTGTAAATCATACTTGATCAAGGATCAATAATAAGCAAGAATGATCTACACTAACAATGACCTACAATGATCAACGATGAAATAATATGATCAACAATGATCTATAATTGGCTGCAAAGTCCAAGGACGATCTGCAATAATCAGTGAACATCAGCTAATGATCTACAGTGATCTACAATGATCAACATTGATCTATAATTGGCGCCAAAGTTCAAGGACGATCTGCAATAATCAGTGAACATTAGCTAATGATCTACAGTGATCTACAATGATCAACATTGATCTATAATTGGCTGCAAAGTCCAAGGACGATCTGCAATAATCAGTGAACATCAGCTAATGATCTACAGTGATCTACAATGATCAACATTGATCTATAATTATCTTCAAAGTTCAAGGACGATCTGCAATGATCAAGGGTGATCTACAGTGATCTACAATGACCAACAATGATCGGCAATAATGATCTACAACAATCTAGGATAATCTACAATCTCTGCAAGACAAGACAAGATCTATGAGCTGGCAAGATCAGTTGATCGCCATCTTCTACTTCTACTTCATACCGTACGTACGTTCACTTGACAGCCGATCTTCATACACATATTTCTAAATATAATGGTGCAGTTATTTTGAGCTCTTTGTACGAAGTGACATATGGCCAGTTTTTGAACACACATATAATAAATAACTCAGAATTTACAGATTTACGGCAAGACAAGTTCACAGTTGCTGGAGCTTATTCCATAATAAGTTAGGAAAACACCATAAACTTGTCAAAGGCAAGCAGAGTCAGGTTTTTCACACATCCACTGTAGATATTTGTAGTTTACATAATCCCCTTGCTGCCGGGCCGAGTTGCATTTTTTTCCTATTTTATAACAGCTGATATAGATAATTTGTGCCACGTTCTGTAAGTTTGTTTTCTATTGACAAGTTTCTATTAGACAAGTTTGTTTTGGTTTATGGCCTCAGCTTTGTCGGCCTTAATGATTAAATGGTGCTATATAAGTCATAAGACACAAGAGAGCATCATATTGTCTTTGACAATCTGCAATTTGAACAACGTCAACGACTATTTCTACTACTCCTACGGCAGGTGCTCCAACACCTTGCCTCCATCTTCGTCTCTCCCTGTTTGGTACTCCCGACGATATGTAGCCCACTTAAGAGCACTTGAGAACTTTAGCACTTTAGACTTGAATATAATTAAAAAGTAGTCCTTAACACTAGTGGAACCTGAACTTGAGCTTGAACTTGAACTGGAACTGGAACTGGAACTGGAACTGGAACTGTTTCTAGTAATACTGATAATAATATTCAATAGCTTGAAAGCACCTTAAAAACTAATTATGAGGTTGACTATAAGACTGGAACTAGAACTGGAACTGGTACTGGAACTTCAGCAAATGATCAATATTTACAAATCACTCAAAAACTAATCATCCATACTTGAAGCTAAGTGAAAAGCAGTCAATGGAACATGCCAGACTGCAACTAGAACTGGAACTACTACTGGAACTGAAACTAGTTCATCTAATAATATTGAATAAAAGTACACAAAAACACTTTTATTTCAGCTAAAACCAATTCTAAGTCCAAGTTATGCACTTGAGCTTAAATTGATTAAGTCCAATCGGAAATAGAACTGGAACTGGAACTGGTTCGGGCATTTTCAAAAATCAAATTCAAATCAAAAAATAATCAAAAGATTGAAATCAAAAACGCTTTCTTTTAATGCCATCTAAAGGGCAAGTGCAACTGGAACTGGAACTGGAACTGGAACTGGAACTGGAACTAGAACTGGCAAATGTATTCACTCACTAAAAACTTTTTCTGCACTTTCGTTTCAAACTAATTAAAAATCATTCCATTTGGCATATGGTATTGGAGCTGGAACTGGAACTTGTTCTTGTACTCACATCTGGCTTGCTGCTGTTGTTACTGGTGTTGTTGTTGTTGTTGTTGTGTTGAGGGTTGCCATTGGCCCCATTTTGTGGCATTGTCTTTAATTCCATTGCAAGGCGGCCTTCGCGTTTGCCCCCCAAAGCAATTTTCCTTGTTTTTTTTTTTTTGCTTTGTTTTATTGTTGTTTATGTTTATTTTGCTGTTTTTACATATATATTTATTTATTTATTTTTTACGCACTGCTGAACATTTAATTAAGCAAAAATTTTAAAATAAAAAAAACCAAAAAATTATATAGAAATTAATGCAATTACCACAAGCGCCGCGTCAAAGTTAATAATATTATTTCAATGGGATTTTTAACGAGTGCCCAGCGACTGCATGAGGCAGAGCTAGAGGGGTACAGAGAGCGAGAACGAGAGAGAGATAGAGAGTGAGGGGGAGAGATAGAGTACGACTTGTACCAATGACCGAGTCACGCTTAATTTTTAGCTTTTTTTCAATTTGTTGAAGTTGAGTTGTGATGCCGTGAATGCCACGGCTAGAACTGAGGCGGTGTTGAGCTTTGAGCGCTTTAAGAACCATCACAACAAGCTAAAACAATTGGCATAGGTACACAGGTAGGCAGACAGGTACACAGGTGGGCTGCGACAGCAGCAGCAACAGTTGGGACCGCTTCCAGTAAGCACTTTAGGTACATGTGCAAAACTTTTTTATCTTACCTTACAATGTCATTATCATCAGCATCATTATCATTATCATTAACATCAGTATCGGCACAGTTGGGTTGAGCTAACACCCACGCAAGAGCGAGCGAGAGGGAGCAAGAGCTAGAGCTAGCAGGTAAACTACAGTCGACTGTGATTAGGATTATTGGAGGTGGGCACAGCGACAATTGACGCATTCCCGCATTGAAGAAGGCACGGCTATGCTCGACTAGTAGATACCCGTTAATCAAAAGCAAATTTAATCAAATTAGATACATAACAATGCATACAAGCTGCTTGTCTCAAATGACGGACTATGAAATACCCTGTCAAAGCATATTTATGCACACTTAGATTAATATTATTGTGGCTTGAGAAAGTGTTCGACTACTAAATACCCTGTACTCCATTTTTATAGTAATTGCACTCTTATTCAGATACATACTTTGAGGCGAAGGTTTATTTAAGAGCAACACAAAGACTATGAGTTACCCTGGAGTCATTTTAAATATACCCAATCTAATCAAATCTAAAATTAAGCCGCTCTCTTATGCTTACAGGGTATGCAAAAATTAAACTTAAGTTGAAATCAAACTAATGTAACACAAACGGGGTATATAAAATTAAACATATTTATATCAAGAGCTTTTAATGCTTATAGGATATACAGCATACAATTTTAAGTTGTACTTAAAAATTCTTTTGTTTGCAGGGTATACAAAATAATTTTTTGCATTTGGCTTATAGGGTATATAGCAAGAAAAACATTTGTATATTTAAATGAAGTATTCATATATAAGAGTGCAGACAAAACATAAATTTTGATACTTTTGATATGTATTAAATAGACTTCTAGGTCATATATACTACTTAGAACATATTTATATGCGATGTACAATTGAAAAAAATTCCAACTGTCAATTCTGAGGTAAATCTATTATACAATGGTGAATACCCAGCCGATCGGACTATTACCACGCGTCAGACGATGGCAATAAACCCGTTCTCCATGCACAATCAAGCACTGCATACATATCTTAAGGGAACTACAGAGCCGCTAGACAAGAGCTTCATATCAAGCACTATAAAAGTTAAACGCTGCCGAGGTCAATTAAGAATTTCAGATTGAATTGAACGCGAGTTGTTCCTAGAAAGGTATAACTACATATCGAGTATATAGCCCGTTCTAAAGATAGCGAACATAAATGAAACCACAAATGCTGTCATACATCTGTAGCTTTAGCTCAACAGTATGTTAAGCCCATGTTATTTAACAGCGCCACTTGCTTTAGTCGGGAGTGACCGACTAGAAGATAGACTTTCGTCATGAGCAGTTCATTAAGTTTGGATAAGATCGATAGTTATCGATAACAAGCTAGGAAATATGTCAAGCAATCCAAGCAGTCAAACAGATGCCACGCCCCCAACACCTTCAGAAAACAAACATTCATTTTGATTTTCAAGTTTTTATTTTTAATATAGTTGCTTTAATTTTTATATTTAGTTAATAGCTAAGTTTTTGTAAATTATTTTCACTTGAATGTGTCTATAAATTAAATCTTATTTGTATTTATCGTCTCAGCATTATTAAATTAAAGAACCAAAAAATATATATATATATATGTTTATGTATATATATATATATATACAAATATATAAATTTAGAATAGAAATAGATAATATAACACGATAACTATAAGTTAAATTTACGATTTAATATGTGGTCTACATCAAGTTGTTATGCATGTCAGTGTGTGTGTTTAGGTGTGTGTGTGTCGGTGTGTAATCAGTGAAGCTGTTAATTAACAATTTTACAAGTGAACAATTTTTACAACGTGAAATTAAAAAACTAGAAAAAAAAACTGACAATCATAATAATAATCATAATAAAGATAATAATAAAAATAATCATAAGTAATATGTAATTAATATACATACATATGCGTATCATAATATGCTAGAATAATAAGTATTTTATTTATTCAGAAATCAGACAATGAAAAAAACAATTATCAAAATCTTTTACAATTCTATAAAAATTTGCACTACAATTGTTTTTTATTTTTTACTCATTTTTTTAATTTTTTCCGTTTTTTTTTTGTTTTTTATTTGTTTTTGGGGGAAAAGAAATCATAAACATAAACAAAAAATGTATATATATTTTTTTAAATTAAAAATAATAAGAACAAAATTACGCGCCAAGTCTTATAAGTGTATATATATATATATATATATATATATATATATATATATATATATATATATATATATATATATATATATATATATATATATATATATATATATATATATATATATATATATATATAGTTTATATTGTATAATTATCAACACTTGTACGTTGCTTTCTATTACTTAACAATTGTTTAAAATTAATTAGCCTTTTGGCAAAACGAATTTACTTCCAATTAAAATTTATTTAAAAAAAAATCCGTTAATAAATAGAGCATGTTGTCTGTGTGTAAGTGTGTATATAAGTGTGTGTGAAGTGTGTGTGTGTGTGTGTGTGTGTGTAAGTGTGTGTAAGTGTGTGTAAGTGTGTGTAAGTGTGTGTAAGTGTGTGTAAGTGTGTGTAAGTGTGTGTAAGTGTGTGTAAGTGTGTGTAAGTGTGGGTAAGAGTGGATGTGTGTGATTTGATTTACATATACATATGCAACGCTTATGCTAGCAAAAACAATTAAAATTATAAATTTACTTTTACGTTCTGCTATGGAGACACACGCATAGCACACATCAGTTGTGATCTGATGTATATATATTTATATATATGTTTTTGCTTGTGTTTTCGTTTGTTTTTTTCTTTGAAATACATATACAAAAGGCATATTATGTAACTAACTCTTTGTTTTTCTTTAAATCATTTAGCTGCGACTGCAACACTGCGCAAAGTGTAAAAGTTTTAAGTTAAGCAAATGCCGAACTATTCGATTTTTATATAGATCGAAATATATCTATATCTATATATAACTGTGTTAGGTTCGCTGTTGCTGTTGCTTGTTACAAATTGCTTTAGTTAAGTGTTGTTGGCATTCATGTATTTACACAAGAGACTGAAATAGCAGTTAACACTGATCTCTGCCTCTCTCTTTCTCTTTCTTCTCTTCATTTATTGGTAAGAAGAAGACAAACTATTTCCGTTTGCCGATTGATTTGTTTGTTGTATTAGTAAAAATTTGTATAGGCTGCGGTGTAAGTCTTTTTTTTCCATCTAAACTTTCAGTTAATATATCTTTTTTTTTTGTTTTTTTTTTTTTGTAATTTTTCCTTTATTTTTTGTTTTTGTTAAAAAAAAATAATACACATTTGTGAAATATGCTTGTACTATTCATGTTAAATACACAAAATCAAAATCAAAATTAAAATCATAAATAAAAAATTAATGTTTATTAATGACTTTTTTGTTGTTTTACTTTAAAGAGAATATAGGAAAGAGAAAAAAACATTATAATTATATACAACATGACTTTGTGAAATAAAGAAAACTAACTGTGCTTTAGGCTAGTTGAGAGTTTACTTTATATATTTATATATATATATGTATATATATATATATCTTGTTGTATACTTTATATAAAGTAACTTCGAAATTTTGCCTTGACTTCTCTTTATATATAGATATATATTGAAAATAAACAAAAAAATCTATTTACACTAAATAATATTACTTATATTCTGAGTATGGTAATATCTGAAGCGTTTCGTTAGTGTTGATGTATTTGAGTGTGTGTGTGTGTTAGTGTGCGTGGGTGTATGCCCAACGGAACTGACGCAAAATGTTATCATGTTGTACAGCGCACATTCCTTAACATAACTCAACCATCGAAACCACCGTTCTTAGGACTATACACATTCGAAACTAATCTAATTAGTTAGTTTAGTTTAGTTTAGTTTTAGTTTTAGTTTTAAATTTTAGTTGTAGTTTAGTTGTTTAGTTAAGTTGCCTATATGCGGAGATCAGCTATGGATCAGAGCACAACAAACAAATCGAAGAGGCATTCGCAACTAAAGCAACAAACAAAAATTATTGCTCATTTCTTGTTTTTAAGCGCCTTTTGTATATGAACGATCATTGGATATGAATGTTCTACATATATATATATATATAGTCTATGTCTATGTCTATGTCTATGTGTGTGTGTGTTTTGTTAACAATGCGTTACATGTCATATATATATATATATATATATATATATATGGTGTGTATGTGTGTGTCTGTGTGGGTGTGTTGTTTTGTATTTATAAATAAATACGGACTCAGTCGCGTTCTACAACTTTTTGCATGTTGGGAGTTTTATCCAGCACTTTGAGACATCCAGTGTTTAGCTGCTAGTTCTTGTTTGTTGCTGTTGTTGTTGTTGTTGTAGTTTCCTATGTGTTAAGTTTTATTGTTCATTTGGGCTGTTAGTCACGCATCTCGACCCATTTAGCGAGATTTCTGGCGACAAGTTCCTTATTGATAAAAATTACGTTCTGGAAATGCAAATCCAGAAAGAAAATCAATTAGTAAAATATTCAACAAATACGAAATAACAAAAGTTAACATAGTTTGAGCCACACAAACATCGATAACGTGACATTAATAGCACTGATTAACGATAACTCAATGGGAGAGCGCCATTAGAACTATTATATATCGCTTCAACTGCTATTCGGGCTATCTCGCTCGCTCACACTTGCCATCTCTTTCACTGTGATGCGGCTTTTTACTTACGTTTGGACCTAGAGAAGCAAATAAATAGATTTCTGGTATATTATGGCTGTTATAGCCGGCGACTTGTGCTTGCAAGACAATGCCTTTGGTTAATTTGTTGAGGATATCGGCCGCATCGATAGACCAGGTCTCATCTATAAGCAAATATCACTGATTAGATATATGGGATACGTAAGATATAGAATAATTTACCGATTGGCTCGATATTGGACAGTATGCATTCGGTTGCCTGAAATGGCAACGCCATAAAGTCTGTGCGAATTTGACGCAAAACATTAAAGCTGACATTCATATAGCCGCCAAAGTCCAAGAACTTGATCAGGCACCGCTCCTCGTCGTCATTGGGATCGTTGTCCACGATTTGAACGCGATACCAACAGCCGTTGATGGGCATCACACAGACGGCGCTGATCTCGATACTCGGCAACTTGGGCGCCTCCATGCTCGAGTAGCTGTCCAGCATCGATTTCTGAAGTGCATGCAGCGATGGGTGCGATGGATGTAACGGATGCTGTACGAACACATGATCTCCAGAGAGCACTGCGCTGACTGACACGTCATTGTTGATGCCCTCGATCAAATTTATCTACAAAAGTGTAAACGATAAACACATTTCAAATATCAAATACATTACAAATTCTATTAATATCGATTAATTATCGATAGTTTGACATTACTTTCAAGTGCAGTTTATGTTTGGTTCATTTATAGCCTTCTAGGGATGTTTCAAAGCTTTAGAATGATAGTTTATATACATTCTTAATCGATTTTTAATTGATAGCTTAGTATCATATAGAGCAACGTATCGTTCAGCATTACGAATTCACATGGTAGATTTTACGGTTACATACGTAAAATCGAAAGATTTGCTAGCTGAACGATGTACATAGTTATTGCTAATTTGATCGATAGTTAGCTTTGTTAGCTTTAATCGATTGACTGCTTGCAAACATTTATAAATTTTCTTTGCAATAGTGAACTGTCGACATTAATATATATATATATATATATATATAGACGACTATAACTCATGCTAATCGTGTTTAAACATGCATATTTGAGTTAGCTATTGCAATTGAAAGCAGTATCGATTCAACGACTATATACATAGTTTATGTTATCGATCAACATCCCTAGGGCATAACGAATACAACATTCTCTCTCTCTCTCTCTCTCTCTCAATGGTTAGAATGTAGATAGGTACAGATAGAGACTGCAAGAATCTGCCTTTAACTCACTTGTAAGCTATAGAGGCTTTCAGTCGATAGAGGAACTATGGATTGCGGAAGCGCATAGTGAATTCTTTGCATTGTAAAATTGGGATAGCGTCTGGATGGCAAACGCTGGCGTATCATGGCCAGCGCGGCGTCGATCTCATTGTCGGTGCCTTCAATGGTGCAAATGCGCAACTTGCCGGATGAATAGCGATTCTTGCTCAGGCCGACATTGGCCAAAGTTTTCGACTTGATTTGATTGATGAACGAACGTTTGCGTCCATATAGCTGGCCAATCAAGCTATTTGGGAAGAAGAAACGATATGAGCTCTTCACGCGCGAAGTTGCCTCCGATCGCGGCAAGCTGGAGCCTTTGCCGGAATCACCAGATTGCACGCTGCAAATGCTAAGCGATGGACTAGCTGCATCCACATTGCGCTTCTGGTTGCCATTGACTGCATCATCAACAACAGCAGCAACAGCGGCTTTGGCGGCTTTGGCGGCAGTGACATCAGTGACTGTAGCACTCGAATTCTCATTCAAATCCACATGCTTTGCTACAATTGTTGGCTCCTCAGTCTGTTTGATCTGTGCTGCATCTGTGCTTTGTAGTTTTGTCTGTTCTACGGGCTTTATTGCCTGCTCCACAGTGGCAACGGCATTCTCCCCCTTCTTCTCATCCACCTCCAGCTGCTGCTGCTTCTTATCTGCATCTGCGCCCGCACTTGGATTTGGCTCGCAGTTGTTATTCTGCTCGCATTCCTTGGTGTATTTGCTCTCGAGAAATGAATTCTCTGGCGATATTTTTGGTGTGCGCGTCGCTTTGATGACAACCGGCTCCTCGGCCTTTTGGTTGATCTTCCGGTTATAGAAGGAGACGCGATTTTTCGATATTGAATCAGGTAAATCTCTGGGCGATGACAGATTCTCAAAGTCCTCGTCAATGGAACAGAGTTTCTTATGCTCTGCATCTTGTATCTTAGACTTCAGCATTTCCGTATCAATCTGCTGCTGCTGATGTTTGCCGGGCGATGCGCGTCCATTGCTCTGTATTGTAATTGGCGCTGATTTGCCATATAACATTGTATTCGGACTCTCCTTCTCATAATCCACATTGTTCAGCACTGAACCGTTGCCCACACTGATGTTCATTGATTTGGTGGCACCGGTACCAGGCACCGCTCCATTACCGTTGCCCGTAGGCAATTTGCCATTATGGGACTGAACGCCATTCACTGCTTTACGCTGTGTTCCCGGCTCGAGGGCCTCTTTGATCGGCTTTCCATTGGCAGCGGCGGCATTTGCATCGTCATCGTTTTTATCAACACGATTTTTATTTCTACGCCGAAACCAAAAGACGCCGAGTATAAATGCTACACCGGGCAGTGAGAGATAGAGTAGAGGACGACCGGATACCATTTTCGCTGAATATTGGAGAATCTGCAAATGTTTCAAAAATAAACTCAATTAATAATCAAATCGATCTGAAAAGCTTGTGTTTCCTTAATTTGCCAATGACAGCCATAGAGCAAAGCACTCCTAATGAGCATCCTTTCCGAAACGACAGAGAGAAGAATCTCTCTTGAGACAGAAAATAAAGTGAATATGATTACTGGCAAATATATGCAATTCCACTAGAATAGCGTATGCATATACACGGTTAAGGATACGCAACAAAATACAATTTGAAACAACTAATAGTGCTCTGGTGGGGAGTGCCCGCGCCTCCTTCTTCCTGTTATATACATTTTCACAGAGCTATTATAACCCTGAGTTCCCATTCATCTCCCTTCAGCAATTTAGGAACAAATCTCAGCATAATCATTAAGCATAGTGACATGAAAGACTTTTCAAAAGGCATGGAAACGATTAAGAGCGCGAAATGAAATTGAAAAACAAAGAGCAAATTTAATGCTGCATTAAAACATAGAAACATTGGCTTAAGGTGTATTATTAGTTAAAAATTGGGCAATACAGTTCAGATATAAATATATATATATCATACTTCAGACTTTTTAGACCTTTAATAGTTTGAAATGCTACATAAAGTCAATTTGTTTGGGTCGCGACCATCACGAGACCTATTTGGCATCCACAACCAACTATGTGTGTGCCTGACTCTGTGTGTGTGTGTGCGACGACGTATTTATAGCAAAAATACGTAATTATAGAAAAATCATTCGAATAGCGACGCGCAGAGCAAATAAGGTGCAAAGCAGAAGCAGAATGCCACGCGGAAGCCAACGAGCAAGAGTGGGAGACAGAAAGAGAGAGAGCGAGAAAAAGAGCGCGGCCGCACACATATTTAGCACGCAGATCGAGCAAGCCAGTGAGCGGGCAAGGGAGTGAGTGAGTGAGAGCGTATCGTGCGTCTCACTTGCGCGTGCGCTGAGTGTCAAGTGTGAAGTAAAAGCCGCAACAGCAACAACAGCAGAAAGAGCAGCCGCAAGCAGCTTTCGGCTAGCTAAAAACAAGCATAAGAAGAAGGAGAACAACAACAACAAAAACAACGACAAGCATTACGTTTACGGCAATTGTTATGAAATCGTTACAAAACAAACGTTGCTAAAAACTAATCAAAAAAATAAAAGAAAACTAAGAGACAATAAATAAATAAATAAATATCAAGTGGCTGTCAAACGTTTAAGCAGTAACAAATTTAAAGCGCAAAATCAAGAATTTTGGAATCACCTTTACTATTTGTCACACTGTGCACGCTGATTGTGGAATTTTCCAAAATAAAACCAGAAGAAAATAACAATCAAAGCTCTGCCACGCACAATAAAAACTTATTTGCTCGTTACTTTCGTAGGGAATATATATATGTTTAGATTTATATATATTTATTTATACTTTATTTTTGTAGGATTTTATTGCTTTTTGTATCGAATTATTCGCTGGGTTTGGATTTACGTCGTTGAGCTAGAAATATAACTCAATTTATATATAAATATATTTATCTATATTCGATTCGTTGATTTGATGCCGGCGTTGCGACTCGTAGAATTCGAGCTTTATGTTTTTTCTATATTTCTATGCGTATCGCCGTCGTGCGATGATAGCGCGTCGATACACAAAGGGAAACTACCCAAAAGCGTTTCACATTTTTTTCTTCTTTTTTATATTTCGCCACCCCCACCCCCCTGCTATAGTGTGTGTGTGTGTATGTGTGTAGAGGGGATCGTGTGATTTGCTTCGTTTTTCTATTTATTATTTCTAGCGAACAATTACCATTTGTCGATTGTTGGCAATGCAACCCAAACCATCCAAAACCACCCAAACCGCCCACTCAATTAAGAGGCGCGAAAGCAGTGTCAACAGCCTCAAAACAAAAATTCGATCAAAAATTTAACAGACAAACAGACAGACAGATAGATAGACAGATAGCAAAGAGCGCCCTTCGTCAAAGCATTTCAATGAGCCAATAAAAACGTTAACCTCGCTCTCTTTTGCGCTCTCTCTGTCTCTCTCTCTCTGGTTTTTTTGGGCAAACCTGTTGCCCTGCTGCTGTAAGTGTGTGTTCGATTTTCCTGTTGTTTATAGGCATAGCTAGACGCTGGAGACAGACACATACACGTATCTGTATAGAACAGGTTTCGTCACCATTGATAAGCCCTAATCACAAAATATAAGCACAAAGGTCATCATAATAGGACTGGGCGATCAGGGGAGACAATTGTGAGAGGTTGTCCATCAACTGTTGTCATATTTGGCATTGTCTACAGTACTGCCACCTGGACGAAGTGAGCACTCTTTAACACTTACATGTGTCGACCATTAATGCCGTTAAAGCTACGAAACTCTTACATGCTTGTATGCGTGTATACGTGTGTGACTATGCAAACAAACATATTTGACAGCTGGCGCTTGACTTTGAACTTGCAGAAGGTGCCAAAAACACGTTACAATTAGATAGCTTTGTTTTAGTAAAATTCCATTTTGAATTTGTATTATATATGCACATAACATTTAGTGTTTGACAGTTGTTAAACCAGCCACGACTGGAAGCCAAGGCCTATGGATTGTATTTAACTCGTTATCACACGCACGCACGCACGCACACACACACACACACACACAAACGGTGCGAATGAGAAGGCGAATTTCGTCTATTAATACACGCACACACGCACTCAAATACAATGAACGGCAAGCCAAGTGCAACAACGATCTGCTTAAGTTTTGCCTAAGAGTTGCCACCCTTCCCCTGCCCATTCCATTCCCTTTGCCAATTTGCTAAATTCTGGCAACGTGGTTGGCGATCATATGCTCTTCGACGACAACATTTTCTTAGTTTTGTATTGTATAATCGTGAAAATGATTTGGTTTTAGTTTTTTCTTTCTATTTTGGCTTTGTTGTTGTTTATTGCTTATCAGCAACAAAATTATAAAGCGTTTGATTGAACGGCGTAGTGAAAGCCGTCAAACAACAAAACAAAACATAATGCGCACACACATTTCAATTTAAACAAAAATTCTATGGAAAGCGTAACAAAGCTTATTTCTAAGCTAAATGACTCAGACACGAGCAGAATTTTACCTATGCATATATATATATATATATATATATATATATATATATATATATGTATGTATTCAGGCATGTATATAAATACCATGAAATTTGTGTAGGTATATAAATGACATATGCACACATCTAAGCAAAGACGGCAACATATTTTCATTGTATAATCGACATGCATAAGAAATAAGGACCGAAACGATGAGCACATTGATCCTTGGTATACTACAAAGGCACTGTCAATACACACAGACGCAGAAAGTTGACAGGCGGTATAAATTGTATGCCGCATGTTTAGCGACAGCAAAAACAACAAGGTGTTGCCACCTATTGATTATGTTGCGCATTTTTTGCACTCTCTTTCACACAGACACAAAGTCACAAATACAAAAAAAAAAAAAGAATTAATTAAACTGCGTACAAAAACATTTCATTTCTATTCTGTTTCATTTCATATTGCGTTGCACTTTACAACGAATTCAGTTTGCTTGGAACATTCAAGCAACATGACACCATTTTTTTGCTTTGCTCCGCGAGTGTTTTGGCAAATGTTTTGTAGTAGGTTATGTTCCGCGTGGTCAAAATTGCGCTTACCTTTTTAAACCAGTGGGGTAATTAATATACTTTGAATTGCTTTTGAATAAGCGAAATTGTTAACTTTATTGTTTTTTAATATATTCACTACTTTTAATTTGACTTATATGACACGAATTTGTAGCGTATTTTAGGAGCACAAATTAAACACGTGTCTACGTCCACCTTTTACATATCATAACATGGCCGGCGTATGCAGTGTTGCCATCATTGTGCACACAAGCCGATAAACTAATGACGGCATTCGATCAGCTACGTCTTATTTATTGAGACGCATTTAATTTTCAAACAAATCACTTTTTAATATTATTCCATATGATATTGCACTTGAATTGTTTGCACAAATTGCTGAAACGCGTGTGAATACAGTTAATCGGGCTGAATGACAACACATGCATGAACAGTGCTGTATTTAATTGTAATCGAAATAATCGATAAGATAACATCATCTCTTAATACCAAAATTATTCAAAATTAAGTAGTATTTCTTTGCTATCAAAATTATTTTTACGGGTAGAATTTAGAGTTGAGCCCTAAAGTTTTTTTTTTTAAAACATACGCCGATAAATCAAATACATCTACTACTAAAAATATACCGTACGGTATATGTGTAGCAACTGTAAAATGGTTCTTTTGACAACAATGATGCCACACTATACTAAATTCATAATTAACGTTAATATTAAAGATTTTAACACAATATATTTTTATAATAAGTTCCATGATCAAATGATTAATAAAAATCGAAGTAATGTAAGTTTTATAATTTCAAAATATAAAATCGTTACGTATGAGTAAGGCCGAAATTGAATAATCTGGCAACTCTAAACTAATGTCAGAGCATATACGGCTTCCTGTTAGCTTGCTTTGACAGCGCTCTTTCTACCATTTGACAGCAACTGAGGTAGGTCGGCCGCAAAATGGTTGTGTAAAAATTCTAAAATTATTGCAAACATCATAAAGTTGTATGTGAAAATTATGTGTGCAATAACAAATTAAAATATTGACGCTAAATATAGCACATTTGTTGAATATGAATAACAAAAGAAGCTAATTAAAAACTGTGTTTACAATTTTTGTTTGTTTTGCAGTGACAATGGCAGTCCGTTACGAGCTGTGTATTGGTCTCAACAAAGGCCACAAGACCACCAAAGTCAAGAATGTTAAGTACACCGGCGACAAGAAGGTCAAGGGTCTGCGTGGCTCTCGTTTGAAGAACGTAAGTGAGAAATCAATCATATTCCAGATGACATTTTTGTTTACATTGTTTGCATTCATTTACAGATTCAAACCCGCCACACAAAGTTCACCCGCGATCTGGTTCGTGAAGTGGTTGGACATGCTCCCTACGAGAAGCGCACCATGGAATTGTTGAAGGTGTCCAAGGATAAGCGCGCTCTTAAGTTCTTGAAGCGCCGCTTGGGCACACACATTCGTGCCAAGAGGAAGCGTGAGGAACTGTCCAACATTCTCACTCAGCTGAGGAAGGCTCAGACTCATGCCAAGTAAAAAAGTTGGCAACCAACAACAACAGCAACAACATCAAGCAGCACACTTTAAAACAACAGCAACTGTGTTTTTTTTTATATATGTTGCGCGGTGTTAATTACATTTGCTAAAGCGTGTAAGAAAGAAAACCGAATAGTCGATGAAGCCACAATTAAAAAAAATTACAATAATTGCGCATGTGTTCATTTTTTTCGAGTGCATTAAAATAACCAAAACGAAAGTTGAACGTTTGTTAGTTGTCCCATAACCTCACTTTGAGCGAAAGCTTAACTGTTATTTTTATTTCTTTCGGTTGGACTGGATCTGCTGAAAATATCCCAGTGATGCCACTTTTGTTAATAGGTCAATATGGACTATTCTTTAGTAGTCATATCCATAGTTGCTTTAGTTTTTCATTTGGCTTGCCGGCTTTGGCATAATGGAATATATTATGGAATACCCCTGAAATTATTCTTGTTCTCTATATTCTGACTTGCTTGAAAAAGGTATGCAAACAAGTCATTGGAATATCCGTTGACAGGAAGTTTCCAGAGCTAATTGAAAACTAGAAAAGCGAACGGCATTTACTTGTTAAGTAGAAGTTTTCTCTAAATACAATTTACGCATTCAAAAGTTTTGTTAAGTAGATATTTTTAGTGATGTGCATGGTTTGGTTTATTAAATATGCTTGTCGAACTCTTAACTTGATTTACTTATAACTTAATTAAATGTGATTTATAGTTTGCAGTACATAATTCTTTCTAAATGCGAATATGATATTTGTATATATAAGAGACTGCTGGTTGAACTTGGACTTCAGTGGGCCTTCGTTAATATACACAATACAATTAGAGATGTGTGTGTGTTGTGCCGCAGCTGCAGTTCGGAGTCTCGAGCAAATCTTGTTAAGGATAAATTATGCTTAAAAACTATGAGTACTCGGCGGTGCATTTGTGGATGTGAAACAGGAACAGGGGGCTGGAGAACAGGAGCACCATTTGTGAACACAGCCGTTTGTGTTAACGAGTGCTTACTGTATTTCCATTTCAATTTTGATTGATGCATTCAGAAGTCTTCGTCATCTAGGCTGGGCAGCGAGATGGTCACCTCGCCAACCAGTTGCGCCTCGTTGGCATCGTTGGAAACGATAATGCGCTCGTAGTCAACGCCGATCGGATTCACAATCTCATAGCAGCTGCCGGCCAGGTCGGGCTCCTGCTTGATATGGGGCGCCAGTATCTGCTGTGTAACCTCCAAGCTCTCAATGCGCGTCATCTCCAGTCGATAGAAACCATTCTCGTCCACACGATACGAGAAGCGTTTGTGACCCGATGGCAATCGGAAGCCATGCTTCTTAATTAGATGTATGGAGAGAGATTTGCCCGTTTTAAAGAAGCGCTCACAGCAATGGCATGCATAGAAAATCGGATTATTGCCATGCACCTCCAGAAAGTGCTGCAAGCAAATAGATTTGCGTTAAGAAAGAATGAGAGAGATAATATAGATCGATGTTGGCTTACTCGTCTCATTTGCGTATAGGTGCGCACAGAGTATTGACAGCCCGGTTGATCGCACTGATGCACTAGCTTGGAATGGACAATCTGTACGTGCTTGGCCAGATCTGATTCGCGTACACAACGTGTATCGCATTCCGTACACTTATAAGGCTTATCCTTGAGATGGCGGTAACGTATGTGCGTGGTCAGCGAACTGGCCGAGCTGCAGGTCATATCGCACATACTGCACTTGTAACAGTTCACATGGCGCACCACATGACCGCGCAATAGCTTCTCCGTGGCAAAGAATTTAAAACACTGTGCACATTGAAATTTTTGTGCTAGATGAAGAGAGGGAGAGGTAGAGAGAGAGAGAGAGTAAGATATATCTATGTTTATTTGAACATTTACTCACTGTTGTTATCCGGCTGCCGGCGCAGATGATCGAACAACGTTGTTTTCGTTCTGAACAGCTCGCCGCAATGATAGCAGGCAACATGTTTTTTGTTCGAATGCGTGCTAATGTGCTCAATGAGGCGGTATTTGTTCTCCAGCAGCTTGTTGCACAGCGTCCAGTTGCACTGCGTCTTAGGCCTCTCGTCGTCCGGTGACTTTTGTATTTCATATTCGAAGGAGGCATGCTGCACTATGTGATCCTGGAATTCGACAATGGAAATGAACGAACGCTTGCAATCACTCCAGCCGCACTGGAAATTCTGCTTTAACTCGGGCAGCTTGTCGCCGTTGCGTGGCTGTGCATAGCAGGCAGGTATCTCTGGATGGAGCTCGCACTCATGCTTGCCCTGAAGCAGCAGATTAATGTAATAGCCGTGATAATAACTGTGCCGTTCGAACTCTTCGCGGCAATTCGTTTGAAAGCTGCAATCGTTCCACACGCATACACACTTGTCCTGGCCCTGCGACTCCCGTTGCTGTTGCTGATGCCCCTCCAGATGCTCGGCAATGTGGCTATTGAGCAGCCATTCGCCATCGCAGACCATTTGGCAATCGCGCCAGCCGCAGGGTAGCTGCAAATCTGATGATTTTTTCCTTTTGCTCGTTGGCAACTGTTTTAACATTTCGCTTGTGTGGGTGTGCGCAAGTTTATAAACAAAAGTTGTAAAATTCTGGTCAATAAATTGCAATTCCTCCCGTGTAAAAGAAAAACTCTATCGCAATGGTATCGCTATAGTGATGACCATTTTCAAAGTGCATCCGCATCGATATTTTCAGTTATCTTGTATCGATAGGGGTGCAGTGCCAGCCAGGCATCTTGGAGTGTAGGAGTGTAGGAACATTAGCTTATTAAACGCTATGTGGTCAAATGTTAATTGTTTTCTGCCATTTATAAGTTCTTTCTCAAAAACTATAAGGTTTCAATTTCATGGCAGTTTTATTCAAATTTGAGTTTACTTTGTTTCTTTAATAAATATTACAGTTCATTATGTTATTCATTATTGAATTGCGCGCTTTTTAAACTGAATAATATAATAAAATGAATGATACTATTGGAAAAATAAAATAGGAAATGTTTGTGCGGTGTTTGTTTTAGCTGTTTTTAATCGTTGCAGTTATTGCTTAAAATTAAAGATATTCGCAGTTATAGTTAGTTTAAGCCGATTGCTCATTTGCATACCTATCGATTAACTTAACGATATACCACTTTCCCTCCAATTTTTATGATTTCAACAATTGACTTCTCTGTCTTTTCTTTTTACTAATAGATGATTTTCTTTTTCAACTTATATACAATGGTTTGTTTTTGTTTTATTTAAATTATACAATATTGTTGCTATGTTAATTTTGCCTAGAGCAAATGCGCATACTCATGTTCTCTCCACAATATGCCAATAAAAATATACTTACAGGGGAGCTACAAATATTCATGAACTTGTCTTAAAGTCCTGGCATAACATACGCAATGTTGTCCAACGTTGTGGCCAGATTTGTGCTTAGCTGCTTCTTATTCTCCAGCCCAGGTATTTGCGTTGTCATGCAGAGCAGAGGCCCCATCGAGCATAAAAGACTGTCAAGTAGGACAGATAGGCTGCCCGAGAGGGCAACATGTCCATTATGCTCCTTCAAACGTTCTCCAATCACTGTCAAACTTTCGCCGAGCAGCTTTAAGTGGGCAGCCGCATCAATAGCCTCAATGCTCGATGTTGTGCCCTTGCCACTGGCCAGCTCCATATCCAATTGTCCTGCGTTTTGTCGAGCTGATGCGCTCGCCTGGCTACCGGCTACTGGAGTCGCCTTGATTCGGCTATTGTTGCGTTTCTGTCTGCTTTGTGCCCATGTCGAGGGTGTCGACAGTTCCGGCAATTGGCGTCGATCTGCAGCCAATTTCTTGGTGCGGCTCGTTGTTGCACGATTCATAAAACACGAGTCAGGAGTCGCCGTTGCCGCAGAGGCGCTGCCATTGCTTGTCTTTGACGAAGTTAGCGTTGGAGCCAAATCAGCTGGAGCATTGTTTTCCCGGGTGCGTGCTTTTGCTGCCAGTACCTTTGCTTTGCGACGCCAGGCGTTCTTCTCTTTGTTGTTAACATTGGCCCACAGTTCGCTCAGTCTTCGGGCCGCGTTTGCGAAGTCTAGGCAAAAGATGATTAGTTGTTTGTATAAGCTTTGGGATTATGCCTCACCTAGATCTGGAAAGTCGCGTTTGCGCACCTCTCGCGCCCAGAGGCTGTAAGCTGTGTAGCGCACTCGCACCTTGTCCTTTCTTTGCAGTTTGTTATCCTTGAGAAGCTTTCGCTTGTTGGATTTTTCACGCATGTAGAGACTTTGACGGACACGTGAATCGTTTGTGTAAGAGGCCTCCGCTTCGACACCTTCGACCAGATCTTGGACCAATGTGTCTACCTCATCATCGGAGTTCATAAGAGCGCCACGCAAATCGGCTGAGCCACCAATTGTGGGTATTGTCGTCTCCTCATCGGATATATTGTGATTGTGTTCTAGCTCATCGTCCTCGTCGTCCTCCTCGGCGTATGCCAGCGCCAGTTCTTGTTCACGCTCGCGCAGCGCATTGGGTGGTCGACCGCGTCCTGGATATCTGGCCGGTTGCCTGCCCGGACGTTTAGTGCGCTTTTCAATTTCTTCCGGGGACTCGAAGTCCAACAGTTTGGATGATTTTTTGCGTACGCGTCCACTACGTGAAACGCCAGCCACCTGAAAATCTAAACTTTCGTTGAGCAGGGATTCTTTGTTTAGTTTGCACAACATACCCTTTGCCACGGGATTTGATATGGGCGATTCCATTGTTTTGATTTTATTTATTATCAATATTTTTAATTGTTGTAAACGACGCGATGAGAAATCAGTGAACAGCTGTTTGCAGCAGAAACGGTCACACTGGACGATCCGATAGATGATGGTCATGAATGAACCAATTTAGAAGATTGTACAACAATATTTCGATTATCAGTTTGCCAAATGCCAGGCATTGTGAGAGCAAATTCTAATAAACTATTCTTAGCTGAATTTAAACAATAAAAATCAAATCAAGTTTACAATAACTTATAAGCTGCTAAGTCTTAAATAACATACCTTGCTTTGATTCTGTAGATTCAATAATTTTAGTTATTTCAAGAATTAAGTAATTCATCTAACTGTCTAACGTGCTTCATTAAAGAAATTTATTTTGTTTCACAACGTAGTTTGTTCTGCTTCAGAGCTTGTGACGTCATTCCTGTAGATCGCTATAAAAAACTGTTGCGCGTGACGATATCTTCTAAGTTCTGTTACACTTGATATGCATACTTTCGATAGTTTCGATAACGGACCTTTCGATTTGTAAATGCTTTTGATTACAATTCTTGTTTTTGTTTGCGTTTTTGTTGATGCGCTGGGCGACATCGGCATTGAGTCGGCATTTTATTGATTACGTATGGCAAACTGGCGCTTGGCACGCGACGCCGGCCCCCAAACCAAGGACATAAACGACCCCCATATGGACAGGCGACATTAACGTGTTTTTGTTTGTTTTCTGTGTGTGTGTATTAATTTATTTGTGGATGTTGGGTTTTGTATTTGGCGAATCAAGTCCAAAACGACGGTTGAGCCGCTCAAATTGTATTTGTTTTTTAGTTATCCCTCGGCCATTCACTCGGTCTGTGCATTTGTAAAACTCGCATTTAACGTGTTTGTCTGTGTGACTAACCCAAAGCAAATACTATTAACATAATTAATTCATAATTATCAAATCAAAAATAATTCAATCATGTCGACTACAGTTAATACTAGTTCCGAATCCGCGCCCAACGGTCGCTCCGAAACCGATCGCATTTCCGCCGTCGAACTGCAGTCAAATAAACGGATGCTGTACTTTAGCGATGGCGTCATGGAGGAGCTCTCTTCTAGCGATAGCGACGCTGAGCCGGACGTGCCCGATAAGGGCTACGATGTGCAATTGGAGGTAAGTCTTGACTATAATTATTAGCAATCGATGATTAATGTCAACTAATCTGATTTTGTGACTCATTCGGGAGCAGCGCGAACTGCCACTGGGGCCGCGCCTACGTTACAAGGCCACAAAGGTGGGCAATAATATATTGGCCGGCATTGACTACGTTGGCGGTGGCCTTGCCTCCTTCCTAGGCATTACAAATTCGAAATATGCCAGCGAACTTAAATACCATCAACGTGCCAAGGAGCTGGCCGAGGCCGAGGCCGACGAGGACCTTGACAATTGGCAAGCTAACAGCAACGGCAGCAGTAGCAACAATAACAACAACAACAATCGAGCCGACACGATTGTGGTTTGTGCGCCCGCTCGACGCGACGAGGCCGCAGCGTTGCCACCCAGTCGACAATAATACTTGAGCGTGCGATGAACTCCACCAGCGGCAGTTCAAATATAAGAGAAACGTATAAGACAGAAAAATGCTCATCAGGTAAAATTGTAAACAAAAAATTGTACATACCAAAAAAACAAAGGAAATCAATGTATTAAGTAAACAGCATTCAATCATTTTGGACAACTTTATTCGCCATAAATAAGTTACAAAATACATAGTACATATTTATATATAAAAATTGTTTTATTTAAAAAAAAAATGGGATTTAGCATGTTCTCTTATACTATAAATATGAAGCTTGATGCGATTCGATAGAATGCATCATTTTTGCAGCTTTTAGAAAACTCTCAGGACTTAGTTATAAAACTTAAAAGCTATAAATATGTATAAATATATTAAGTACTTTTTTTCCGTTAAATTCTTAATTCTAATGGCACAATGAATACAATTTATGTTTTATTTAAGTACACTTGCGTTTCGAATCGATTTTGGATTTAATTTGTGTTTATTAAATCTTTAAAACATGAATCACAGTATCACAGAATTTATATATATATATATATATATATATATATAAATATATATAGGAAGCAAGATGATAATAATAATTATAATAAAGGGGCAAGAATTGTTTAGTGTGTTGTACTTTGGTTACGCGCTAAATATTAATTACATTAATAAAAGTGCCATCAAATAATGTTGACAATACAATTTAAAGTAACGAAAGGCCAAATAAAAAAATTTAAAATTGAATCAAATTTTTAAAATATTTAAATATTGCACAAAAAAGTTGAAATTTGAAAGCAAATCAAAGATGACGGCACTGCTTCAAAGTGTGAACAATCTTTTCTAAAGAAAAGCAAAAACTCAATTGACACTTTGAACTAGTTCCTTGATTTTCACTCATTTCATGGCATTACAAACTAACTTTAAAGGAACACAACATAAATGTTACAAAAAAAAAAAAAAAAGGAATATTAAGTACATAAACACACACATACATACATACATACATGAACTAATAGTTATAGAAATACATTTAAATGGGTTCCCAAAAGTCAGAAATAGTTTGAAGCCGAAACAAAATTATGCACAGTTTGTTGACCTAATTTGAGATTTATATAAATAAATATGAATCATATATATATAGAGGTTAAGGCACAAGTCGACCTAGAACTAGTCTAACTTTTGACTGTGTGTAGTTTAAGTGATTGCATCCGATTGCACTTTAAAACTAGATTATAAATAGTATAAGGAGAACACTCAACAAATATTAAAAGTTCCACTTCATTGCTAAAGAGTTCTACTATACAATTTTATATATCTTCACAAGCAGCGAGTTGCAGTTAAAACTCTCTCCCTCTCTCTCTGACATCTCTCTAAGGCACAAAAAACCTGTACAAAACTCATTGCCTAAATTAAGTTAACAAATTGTGCATAAATATAGATTTGCTTAGATTGCTTAAATGCAAGTTCAATAGCTAAACTAGGCCGAATCTATGCTGACCTTGACAGGAACGTTGCGTTGTTATAGCCACATTTTACTAACGTGCGGCATCAGACTTGAAGAACTCATGGCAAAAGCAGAGACGAATATGCTGAGGAGACAAGAAGCTGTTAGAAAATTTAACGGTGAATGCAGCTGGTCGACTCACGCTCAGAGCAACGTCTCGTTGCCATATCGCTGCAGCTGCGGATAATGCGTATAGTTGCCATGGTGATGATGACCGTGAACATGCTTCGATGGTGCATAGTAGAGACGCTGCGTCGAATGGGCATGCGGCGTCTGCTGGGTGCTGCGGCCCAGCGAATAATTGGACATTTGGTTAAGCGATATGGAGCCGGCGCCCGTTTGCTGTGCCTTGTGCTTGTAGGGGCTGCTAATCAATGGCGGTGCACTGACCATTGACTGATGCGAGGGACGCACCGAGTGATAGGAGACAACGGTGCTGCTGCATGCTATGTGCGAGCCACGCGAGCTGCTCTGACCATCTAGCTGTTGTTGCTGTTGTTGCAGCTGCTGTTGCTGTTGTTGCAGATGATGGTGATGATGGTGATGATGTTGATGAAGATGCGACGGCTGTGGCTGTTGTTGTTGGTGCTGCTGCTGTTGTTGATGTGGATGGCGATCGGCCGACTGCTTGAGCGGTCGCATGGATAGCTGCCGCTTGTAGAGGCTGGATATGCTGGGTCCCAGTACCCAGGCGAAACAGCAAATGCCCAGCATTAGCTCCATGAAAGCACGCGTTAGATATGGCCAGAGCGGAGTGTTCGTCTCCCTCTGACTTAGCCACACATCGATGTTGGCAAACTCATAGATCACAGCGAGCAGCAGCAGGGCACAGGCGGTGCCATAGATGAACAGAAAGATGCCAATGCCGGAGCTGTTGTGCACGCCCAGCTGCAGCTGCTGTTGCAGGCTTAGTGCGTTGCTGTTGCGCAGTATCTCCTTGTTGCGACAGTGCACCAAATAGCCAGAGATTAGATTCATTGAGCCAAAGATCCAATAGCAGAAGACAGGCGTGGCAACCAGCACCTGCAGCGCCTTGTCCGACTGATTGCCCACAAAGCAAGCGCCTGCAAAAAGAGACCAATTGACCTTAGTGCGGTGTGCAGTTAGGGTATAAGCACGCTTAGCATACCCAACAGCTCATCGGCATCAACGAGTCGCATCACAATCACCGCCGCCGTCTGGAATGCCGGCAATCCCCAGGCCACGAAACAAACGAAATTATTCTGCGCCAAATCCTGCTGAGCGCTGCTATGGCTGCTGGCTCCCTGTCGCTTGGCTGCGGGCAGCGCTATGTGTCCCTTGGTATCGGGGCTGTTGCGGCGTATGTCCCGATGCCAGCCGAGGCATAGAATGGCCCACCTGCAAAAGCATACAAATTTTACAGTCGAACGGCAAATTGAAGTTAGCTTTCGGCTGTATTTTTCCACTTCTCTTCTTTCACCAATTTCAGTGAATTCGATTTCCACTTATCTTTCACATTTGTAGGTGAATTCGGGTTTTCACATTTCAACAGTAAACAGATGCTTACTAAAGCTGCTACTGCCATAGCCGAGTTCTATTTTCCACTTATCTTTCACGGTTGTGCGTGGATTTGAATTTGAACATATATACGATTATAACAGATGTAAACTAGGATTAGTAATCTCGTATCGCGTATCTCTCCCGTATATTTACAGCATGTAGTATTTAGATTTGATATATATATATAGATTTATATTTGGGTTGGAAGACAAAACGTTTTCTGTCATAAATAATGTGCGTTAGCCTATTGCTATCTCTATTGTTATCATTCCCAACCACACGACACGGACGACATCAACATAAAATATACCACATTCATAGACATATCGTAAAACAAGCTTGGGAACTGAAATGAACTGGTTCGCAGTCGTTCTACAAATTTACTATTAGCCACGAACCAAACACGAAAAAGTGCTACTAAACTAGTTCCACATTTCAGTGATTCAATATATATAACAGTTCCAAGATTTACTGAACAAGTTTCAGATTGGTTCCGACTTAGCTACCTATATGAATACAACTTTTTGAGCAAGTTCCAAATTTAAAGTTCAAAATCTAAGATATATTCAATAAGTTCCAGATTTAAGTTACTCAAGTAGAATCTAAGAGCTGCTGAACTAGTTCCAGACTGACTTTGACTATATGAGTCCAGGTACTCAAGTATCCACATTAAAGCCTTTTAGGATCGAAGAGCTATTGAACAGGTTCCACAATTTGGGTACTAATGTTGAAAACCTATTGAACAAGTTCCAGTGATCACTTCACACTGGAGCTTGTTCAAAAATGCATATATTGATGTATTGACATGGATTTTTGAACAAGTTCCATTATCTCAGCACTCAAGTGCTCACATTCAAAGCTCAGTATCTAAGACCAATTGAATAAGTTCCAGCCTAGTTCCTGCATTCGAGGACTTACCAGGCGCAGGCGGCCATCCCAAAATAGTAGCGCAGCAGAAAGACGCTGGCACAGGCCGCATTGGACAGGCCATCGACGCTGAGTATTGATTCGTTGGGCGCCTGAGGATCTGTGCCGCAGGCGGTGCCCGTGCGTCCGACAATGAAACGCACCGTCCAGCCAATGGTGACCATGTTGTGGCACCAGAGCAGCGGCGATAGCAGACGCGACCACTTGGCGGCCGCGTTGCCATTGGCAGCGCTGCCGGCGGCGCAACGCCCACGATTATCACCGCCCAGTAGGAGCAGGCATAGCGTAGCAACGCAGGCGAGCCCCAAGCCGGCATACGCCCAGGTGGATACCCAGATTTCGGATAGATGCTTCTCGCTAGGGGTGAACAGAATGTCTGCCTCGCAGAGCGGCGCACAACGTCCGGAGCGATGCAGTTTCACGTAAAGATGGGATTTGGCCAGCGCCGAGCAGTCGAGCGGCAGCGGTGCGCCCATCTTAAGACCAGGCAGCTGCTGGCCATAGAGCTCGTGATCTTGCAATGTGAGTTGCGTTTCGCCGGGACCCTCCATGCACATGGTCTCGTGATTGTTTTCGCGCGGAAAACGCTCACAGTCGAGCGCCGGTGGCCACGGGAAGCCGAAACCCTGCAGCACTGGATGACAGCGAATGCGCACAGATTCGCACAGGCTGCGGCATGGACCAATCGAATGCACGGGCGCTTTGGGCGTGCACATGGGCACATAGGCGGCGCACAGAAAGAGCTTTAGTTGGGAGCTGCAATCGTACTCGATGAGCGGCGCAAATGTTTGCAGCGTATACTCCACATCCGTTTGCAGCTCATGACCGACTAGATTGGGCATCGATGTTTCATTGTAGCCAATGCCGCGACACATCTCGATCCGGATGGGTTCGCACTGACGGAAAATGATTTCGGGCGGGGCATTGCTGCTGCTGCCAGTGCTGATGATGCTGCTGCTGCTGCTGATGATGGCAGTGCTGATCCCGCTTCTGGCGGGCGTAAACAGCAGCAATGCTGCCAGCAACCATTTTACGTTCATCCTGATTTAACTTGTTGATGCTGCTACGCTTATTGTTGTTGTTGTTACTGCTGCTGGTGCTGTTGTTTAGTTCGTTTGCATAGTGCCTGCCGTTAGCACAGAACTGGTTCCACACGCTTGCGTTTGCAGTCGCACTTATTAGCTAGATTGCAGCTATCTCTTTCCCGCCTGCCTGTCTGGCCACTGGACTCCCCTTGTCAGCTCGTTAACTACCTTGGCGTCGTTCTTGTTATCGTGCGGTCGACGTCGCTGCTGCAAACTAGTTTTTCTGTTCTTGTTCTTTCACAATTGGTATGCAGATTATCTTTTGCCCAATTACAATTTTACACTTTTTCCGTTTAGCTGCTGCTGCTGCACACTTTTGCACTTGTTTATGTTTTCCGTATTCTTTTTTTTTTTTTTTTTTTTTTAATTTTTTTAGGTTTTGTTTGTTTACTTAAAGTAGTTATAAATATCTATATTTATTTATGTTTGCAGTTCGTCACATCGTTTGTATTTGGCCTGCCAAAATTGCTATGCCACCAGGAAATTTCGATCTCGAGCTCACTAGTTGAATGTTTACTTTGGTTTCGTCGCAACCAAGAAATTAGGACTTGTAAATATTGCGTTAAATCGTTTTGGGTAGAACCTGTAGATATGTGCTTATCGATAGCACACGGCTTATGGAAAGTGGCGGCAATTCGATTGCTCCTAGTGCTACAAAATAAGCCAACAAAAATCAGTGTTGACTAAGCGCACACAGCGCTTAGAATCCACATTACAAATTACAACTTTGAGATGCGGGAAAAAAAGGATAAAGAAGGTGATACAAAAATGATTTCTTTTGATTTTTATTGAATTTAATAGAATTATTAACTGGTATATATGTAGATAGCAACAAGTAACACAAATTGCACTTTTCATTTCATCAACGCTATACCAAAAAACAATTGTTCTAACGATTCACAACAATATATGTTCAAATGTTTTTTTTTGTTTTTACAAATTTTTTTTAACAATATCGTTATTCTGTACACACCATTCAACAAGAGCGAAATGCATATGTATTGAGGCGAGCCTCGCACGCATACTCTATTTAACTAACTTTATCTCTCTCTTTCTCACAGACACACACATATGCTCTCTCTTGTTTTATGATTTGCCTGATTGCGGTTATGTCTGATATTATTTTGTTAAATTTCTTCGATATCGGGCTATATATAATATTGCCAAATTGTTAAGCATAACGATTCGGCAACATCTGAGCCCGCCCATCGTGTGTGTGCAGACTTTTCCTAACCGCTTTATGTATATATAAATATATATATATAATTGTATAGGTAGCTTTTGATAAATTTTAGTTTTTAAGATATTACAAAGTAATTTACATTATTTAATTAGTGCGAGTAACAATTACAATAAAATCGAAAAAACAAGCACAATATATGCTCAAAATATGAAGTATTATATATATTTATATTTATATATATATTTATATTTATATATAATATATATATATATTTAAGTCAGCATATATGTATGTAAATGTATATGTATATGTATATGAATATGTATTTATGTATGTATGTACGTATGAGGATTGCCAGCAAATATTTAACAAAAAGCGATAACAAGAAAATATCTTCGATCTAACCGAAGCCTATTTTTCTTCTTAATCTGCTTAACAAGTTCTGGCACATAAAATGATTTAACTATATATATATATATATGTATATATGTCTGTCTGTCTGTCTATATGTATATAAATTTGCTATTATCTGTTCTTTGGTTGTAAGTTTTTGGGATTTCGGTTTTACTCATCGTAGTCGCTGATCATGAGGCCCCGTTTGGTAAAGTTAATCGATGATACTGTTGAGAGATTGGCCGCCCCATCCATATTATCGAAGAGGTCACTAGTAGCTGAGCTATTGAGGGAATTTAGCGTTACGTTGAATGAGCCGCCAGCGGTATTGAAACGCTCCTGCAGCTCCTGTTGCTGTTTCAAAGTTTCCAATTCATCACGCAACGCCTGATTGCTTAAACGCAAATGTTCCGCCTCTTGCAGACAGTCGCGCAGGCTACAAACGAAATCGATTAAGATTACTATATATATATATATATGCATAAATTAGGTTCATTTACTCACCTGTCGATTTCATTTTGCATACTCTTGATGTAGTCACAGGCCTTGATTAGTATTTGAGATTTGGAATCGTTGGGTGGTGTGCGTCCATTCTGCTGGCAATTGCGAATGCTTGCCGCTTTGCTGTCCAACGTCTCAGTCATCGGCTTGTAGCGATTGCCCTCAGTGGGCAGCATCTCCTTCAGCTTGAAGATCCAGCAATTGATTTTATCGCGACGTCGACGCTCCACCTCATTGTGTGTGGCACGCCGCTTGTCGTCCCGCTTCTTGAACGCATCCATCTTGACATTATAGCCGGCAGACACTACAGCTGGAGCTGTGGGTGTTGTGTGGCTAATCACTGGTAAAGAGGAGCTGCTGCTGCTGCCGGTGCCGCTGCCGCTGCCGCTACTTGGCGAATCTTTGCTGGCAGCAACAACGATGTTGTGCGTGGTCGTCGTTGCACCGCTGCCACTAACGTACAGCACGTTCGTGGACGGTGTGGCAATGGAGTCCGGCTCCAGTTTAATGGAAGCCATTGGTTGTGCATGTTGTAGCTGTTGCTGTTGGTGTTGGCGTTGGTGTTGCTTCTGCAGCAATGGCTCATTCGCTTTGGGATTTGTGGTAGTGGTGGTGGTGGTGGGGGTGTCTTTAACTAAATATATTTCACAACCCGTTGGGAGCTGCAGATTCGTCGGCAACAGCGCATGCAGTGCATCCAAATCTGGCTCCTGTTTAATGCTCTCGATGGCATAAAACTCTTGAGATTCATTCGAATTGTCATCATCCCCGCATATGGTCAAATAGATTTGTGCACCGTTATTCACATCCACGCTGCTAGCTAGAAATATGCCATTTGTTGTTGTGCTACCATTCCCGTTACTGTATGTGGCATATGCAACGTCGGCTGCTGCGGCTGCGGCTGTTGCTGTTGCCGCTGTGGCTAGCTCCAGACGTGGCCTTTTCTTCACATTCATTGCAGCTGATTGGTGGTTGTGATGCTGTTGTTGTTGTTTTTATTATTATTGTAGCCGTTAGATGTCATCTCACTTTGTTATGATGCTGTTTGTATGTGTGCACATATACATATATATGTATACACGTTACAAATGGGTGTCTTCTGCTCTTCTCTTGTTGTTGCTGCTGTTGTTGTTCACGTAACTTTGTGTGTAATTGAAGAGTCGAACAGCTATTAACTACCGTTATGGCAGAGCATTTGAAAAGAACTCGTTGGCAATTTGTATTGCGCTAGTTTGGCCATTTAGTTGGCTAAAGTACACACTCACACATTCGTCGACGTTGTTGTTAAACAACAATAATAATAATTGTAATTCCGACGATATGTGGCTGTTCGTTTTTTTGCGTCTGGCATCCTTATCTGCATGCAGACTTCTTCAGCTGGCAACCCCACCCGCAGCCAAGTGACTCAAGAATTATCGCATAAGATAACGCAATAAAAGTATATGCAATTCGAAATAGTACAAGACATTTTTGTTCTGCGCATCTACGTCATATGTGCACAATTGATGTGGTTAACTTTATTCGCTATGGTAAGAATAATACATGACACTCGATTTAATAGTTGCTAAATATATTAAAAATGTTCTTCAAGTCCATAATGAAAATTTTGAATTTTAGTTGAAAATTATATTTAACTTCGTCGTCATTTAAACCTATCGCTGACCTATCGAAAGCTGCGCACAGCGTAACCTTCTTCTTTTGACCCTGCCTAAATCGTTGCTCACATCGATATACCGATTAGTTTTTGGCAATGTTGCGATACAACAACACAGTGTAATATAAACAAGTCTAAATCTTTATTATTAAAACTTCCTATTAAAATTACTATTTAAAAATGGCCATACCATCAGCAACGGATTCACTTTCGCTTGCGTTGAAAAATCGCTTTCTTCCAAATCTGGAGTATTTGCTGCAAGGCTCCATTCTAGACACAGCCGTCGAGCATTTGATGCATAGGTAAAACAAATACGAAAGACCGGCACAGTGTGAAGATAACTGAAATTGCTTTCATAGATTGAAAGGCCTATGTGATAATGTGGATACCTCTCCGGAGACGTTTCATGATCTCGAAGTATGCATGAGTCTGCGTCAGCCGAACTCTCCTCAGCCACTGCTGCTGCTACGCGTAAGACGTGCACTGGGACGCGATGCGCCGTTCCAGCTGCGTTACCTGGGACAGCCGGAGGTGGATATGCGTAGGCCGACGCTAGTGCGCAGCTGCATGGACTGTGCCTGCACCAATGGCATTCTCGACTTCCTATCCGAAATGGGCTTTCGCCTCGAGTTCGAATATATAGCAAAAGGTTAGTCAAACAACTTATGAATAAACTGTGAAAAGCTACTTCATCTTTCATTGATTTTTTGGCAGGCTACATGTTTCGCAAGGGTCGCATGAAGATTACCGTCTCCAAGCTCATCAAAATTGTGCCCGGCAAACAACAGGACATGGCCAACGAGCCCATCTCGCAGAGCTACATTGTTGAGCTATCTGTGGTGGCGCCCACGGGTCAGGAGAATGTGGGCGAGGAGATGCGCGTATTTGCAGAGCAACTGAAACCGTTAGTGCAACTGGAAAAGATTGACTACAAACGTCTGACCAATATACCATGAAGCTATTGCACTTCATGTCCAACCGCGTGTTCTAAATTATACAATTTGTAAACTTTTTACAGAACCAAATGCTTTGATTGACGAAAAAGTTAGCAAAAAGCGTAGATCAATGCCATTTTGGATATATATAAGACAATTTTACATACCGAACTGTTTTAATAAGATAAAACCGAAGTTTTCAACCCATTTCATTCGAGTTTGTCCTTGAAGGTTAAGAAAAAACTTTGATTGACCGAACGATAACAATTTAATTGCAACTTCTAAACTCTAACACATTGAGAAATACATTCAAAGCACAAATCCATTAAACATTATTATATGGAAGGAAAGCTTGACAAATAGATGGGGGAATGCATAACGTTTCCAAGTTATTTACTAGACACCAGCTGCACCAATCTAATCCTTAAAGGCTTCATTGAGTGCCGACAAATTGCGATCACTGACGTGACCCTGTAGATCGCTGCGACCCATTAGTGATATGACCATTTTAAGTGTGCTCCAGATCGATTCGGACATCTGATTCTGGCCAACGGCCTGGGCATTGGGCAGCTCACGCGAGGCATTTGTGTGCGCCTGCATGGTAAGCGCCGTAATTAGATGTTCGGCTGCCTCTTTGTAAGCTTTTAGGTTCATGCAGCAGACGCCGACGTTGTAGCGTACGCGTATGAATCCTGGCTGCAGCTGAAGCGCCTGCTGATATGCTTCGACTGCCTCCACGGAACGTGAGCCATTCGCCAAGCTGGCGCCCAAACGATTCCAGAGCTTGGCATTTTGTGGATCGACATGCACGGCCGAGCGATAGCAATCGACCGCCTTATCAAATTCGCCAGACAAATTGTAGAGCACTCCGAGAGCCTCCTGCAAATCGGAATCTACTTGGGCGGGGTGCATGCGCACAGCCTCCAAATAGACTTGCTGCAGATCGCGCAGCTTATTGCCGCCAATCAGCGAGGAGGCCATGGTAAGCACCTCCGATTGGAGCTGTGGGTAGGCGGTCAGCAGATGCTTATACTGTGGGTGCACCTCTAGCCAATTGGAGAGCATTTTCACCGCATTGCTCTGCAAGCCTTCGTTGGTATAGCATACGGCCAGGGCCATCAGCACCTGACGATTCTCTGGCTGCATTTCGAGTGCTTTCTTAAGAGCTGCTATGCCCTGTGGGTCCATTTCGTTTTCGGCCTGCGAGATGCCTAAGAGTTGCCAAATTTCGGCCCGTTCCGGTTCCTTCTTGACAGCGACCTCGAAGCAGAGCACGGCACTGGGTATATCGCCCTTAGTCAAGTATTCCTTGCCCTTTTCAAAGGCATTGTCCAATTCGGCCATCGGATTCTGCTCGGCAAATTCGTACTCCTTGTAGGCGTCCAGATTCTCATTGAACTCGGATAGCCAGGGATGTTCGTTCTCCTCCGCCAACTTTTGCCATTCGTCTTGTAGGCGCTGCCAGAATTTCTCGTTGAAATTTGTTGCAGTTTGCTCGTTTTGCTCCCTATTGCGCTGATAGTCACTGATCCAATCCTCCAGAGACTCTGCGTAAGTTTCCACCCTTGGCAGATTATCAGTAATGATCGTCTCGACGTTGCCGTCGAAAAACGCATCGTGCTGCTGCTGCTGCTGCTGCTGTTGGTGTTGCTGCGGACCAGCTGTGATGGCCATGTATGGCTGTCGCATCATTTGGTTTGGCATAAAATTTTGAGTGCTGATCATGGTTTCGTCGAAGAAATCTTGCGATTGCATGGGCTGCGGCATCTGGACCGTTTTATTTTGCTGCGATTGCTGCTGGTTCTGCTGCTGCTGCATAAAGTCCCGACCCCACTGGTTGGCCATTTCATTCTGATGCTGCTGTGGCACTGGTCCATGGATGTTGACGCCGCGCATTTCTTGTAGCAGTGTGTCCATTTGAAATGATTGCGGTGGGCCAGCTACTTGACCGAGAAAATCGTTGACTAGTTGCTCGTCTGGGCGCAAGCTGCGTTCGAATTGCGCAGGAGCAAACCCCTCATCCTTGTGGGCGACATCGCGGGTGAATTGGCCGCCCAGCTGCATCAATGGATTGACGGCACCACAATCGCCTTCCACAAGTGGACGCAAAGACATCTTGCTACGTAACTGGTTACTGGTTTTGATCAGCAGCCGATTTGAGGATGGAGGGACTTTAAGATAAGAAACGAAACAAAAGTCCAAATGTCCACAAGGGGGATGGACTACAAATTTGTACTGTGTTTTATTGATTTATCGAGGCCAAGCAGATATCGAACTAGTCAGTGTTATTGTACAGCTTATCGATTTGTGTGTTATCGAGATTGGTTGCGTAGAATTAGAAACTTGGGCGCCAAAGTGCTTACAATTAATATTCATGTGCTGACCGAAAAATTCGTTAAAAGATTTAAAACTATTATCGAACACATGACTGAGAAACTTTACAGTCATTTGCAAAAAACCATACTTTGATATCTGACCAATAGTTTGAAACTATTTAAATACTAATTATATATGGAATACTAAATATGAATTTATTTTCCAATATATCTCACGAGGTGAATATTTAAATTAAAAGTGCTATAAAAGACTATATTCTTCTCTAAAGTTGATTAACTAAAGAGTTATAACTATAGTTATAATAAAAGTTAAAACAAATGTTAAATACATAAAGCTGTGTGAACAAGTGTTAAGTTTTAACATAGTATTTCTTGGATTTGTTGTCAAATGATTTAGTATTTTTGGTATATTTGGCTAAAACGCATGCAGCAACACTGATTGCACTTCACTGTGAAATTCGTTCGCTTGCACGTGTTTTTGTTATTCTATTGGAATAAAGGAAAATTAAGAGGCAAAATTAACTGTGCCAGATGGAGCACGACAACTACACTGGCGTCAGCACGCTGGGCATCGACAATAGCAGCAGCAATGCCATGATCCTATGCTGCGAATGCGGCGTGGCCATACAACCGAATCCTGCGAATATGTGCGTAACATGTTTGCGAAATCATGTGGACATAACAGAGAATATACCAAAGCAGGCGGTGCTGCACTTCTGTCGCAACTGCGAGCGTTATCTGCAGCCACCCAATGAGTGGGTGCAGGCCTCGCTTGAGTCCAGGGAGCTGCTGGCTGTTTGCCTAAAGAAACTGAAGGGATTGAAGGAGGTGAAGTTGGTCGATGCGGGGTTCATATGGACAGAGCAGCATTCGAAGAGGATCAAGGTCAAGCTAACAGTGCATGGTGAAATCTCTGGCGGCACAGTGCTGCAACAGGTCTTCATTGTCGAATTTACTGTACAGAATCAAATGTGCACCGATTGCCATCGCACAGAGGCCAAAGACTTCTGGCGCTGCCTGGTCCAAGTGCGTCAACGGGCTGAGAATAAGAAAACCTTCTACTACCTGGAGCAGTTGATACTCAAATATAAAGCACACGAGAACACGCTGGGCATCAAGCCCGAACACGGCGGACTCGATTTCTACTACGTCAGCGAGAATCATGCCAGGCGCATGGTTGACTTTCTACAAACAATGATACCTGTCAAGGTGACCACCTCGAAGCGCCTCATCTCACACGATATACACAGCAACAACTACAATTACAAATACAATTGGTCTGTGGAAATTGCGCCCATTTCGAAGGACAGCGCCGTCTGCCTCTCGAAGAAGCTGCGCCAACAGCTGGGCAACATTTCGCCCGTTTGCCTGGTGAACCGGGTGTCGAGCAGCATTCACCTGATCGATCCGCGCACGGCACAGATAGCCGAGGTGAATACTCAGGTCTATTTCCGTGCGCCGTTCGAGGCCATTTGCAATCCGAAGCAATTGATCGAGTACATTGTGATGGACATCGATATAATACATGAGAAGGATCGCAAGACGTATCCGGGCCAGGGCATGGTCTCCTTCAAGCACGCCCTCTGCGACATTTGGGTTGTGCGAGCCTCGGAGCTGGGCGTCAACGATAATCCCATACATACGCGTTCGCATCTGGGACATCTGCTGAAGGTCGGCGATTCGGTGATGGGCTACAATACGGGCGAGGCGAACATCAATGATCCGGAGTTTGATAAACTGAGTCCCGAGCTGATACCAGACGTTGTGCTCGTCCGCAAGCACTACGATCGCCAAATGCGGCTCAGCCAGCGCCTGTGGAAGATAAAGCATCTGGCGGACGAGGCGACGGATGAGCGTAGCAAATATGATTATCACGAGTTCCTCGATGATATCGAAGAGAATCCCGATATGCGTGGTCAGATCAATGTCTATCGCGATAGCAAGAAGACGCTGCCCATTGAGGTGCAGCAGAACGTGGGCGATGTGCCGCAGATAACGCTGGCCGAGATGCTCGAGGATATGACGCTCGAGTGTGCGGACGATGAGATGGGCGAAGAGCAGGAGGAGGACGCGGCGGCGACGGAGCGGCAGGAGCCGCAACTGTAGGCACAGACCAGGAACTAAACGAGCTGAACAGGAGGAGAAGCAGACATAGCTATAAAAGGTCTTAAGGGAAAAGCAAGACAGAAGCAGCACTGATAGCTGAGGCAGAAGGAGCAAAGGAGGAGGTAAAGGAGTAGCAGCAGCAGAGGAGCTGCTGAAGCAGAAAGTCCAGGCGAACAGGAAACGCAGCTAAAGAAAGTCTTGTTAATTTCATTCTCTTTTTTATTATGTATTTACACACACACAAACATATATATATATATATATATATATATATATATGTATTTACACATATATATAATTTGTTGGAATAAAACAAATAATAACATTATATAAATTGATTTTGTTTTATATCTAACATCGAATTTAATAAGATATAAAGGAACTCTCAGCAGATATATATACTGCTATATACATATCTGATTGATATGAAAGCGAGATTAGCTAGTTAGAATACAATTGCATATCCAGTTGGGCTGCATTAGCTACTAACCCAATCAGATACCGCATAATAAGAAATTAGAGAAATTAATTCGGCGAATACATATTATCTAGTTGGACATGTAACATGCCAACTAGAAATGTATTCAAAGTCTTGTTGGAACAGCGCCACAAAATAACTAATCAGTATACAAATGCTCGTTTTGCACTTGCCAGCAATTCCAATCAGAAGATGAACAAGTTTGTGGAATTTGTGGAATCTGTAGGAATGAGAGCTTGTTATATATATAAATTCGATTTACATATAGATTAGATAACTCCCCTATATATAGAGAGAGATATGAATAATGATTTAGATTTGCAGCAGATTGGAAAGATGGGGAAACATATATAGAGCTCTACATATTTCGATTAAGACTAGACATCTATTATATATAAGATTATTTTACAAAGAAAACAGTACGGAAATTTCATTAGCTGTCGAATTATACTAAATAAAAATATAGAAAAATTAAAAATTTCGATTATAAAGTCAAACTAAATCGCATTGGAATCACATTCAATTGGTTAAACTACATGAATTTGCCTTTGAGTTGGCTTTCTACAGTTTTACAGTTAGAAGTGCATAAACAATTTCTGATTATTTTAAATAGTGGGAAATCTCATAAATCCACTCAATTATCCAGTCCCAATTGGGGTCTCATGCAATTGGCAACACGCTTCAATTTCTTTCATATTTGACTAATTGTTGGAAGCCTCGAATATCCACTTCATTGACTCGATTTGCTTCCAATTGGATATGCCTTTAAATATGCCTTTCAGTTGGACGTTTGCTTAAATTGATTTGCAATTGGAATTGAATTCCAATCCCATGAATTCGGTTTCGAGTTCGAATTCGAGTTTCCGTTTTTCCTTTTGTTTTTACTATTTGCTAATACAATAAATAAATTTTGGTTTAGTTAGATTTATGAATTCTGATTCAATTGGATTTTCAAATTGCAATCAGATTCAATTGGAATCGCATTGAATTCGTTTGACGGACACGATATCCACTTAGAAATAAAATTTTCAATCAATTTGTTTTTCCTTCCTTCCGTTTCCCTTTCAGCGAATGCTGGATGTGTTCCTTGGTTGCTTGCTCGTTTGATTTTGGTTTTTGTACTTGCGAGGCAATCTCCACTGTATCCTTCGGCTTGCTTAGGAGAGGCCCAGCTTAGGCTTCTCCTTGAAGAAGTAAACATCATCGCAATCGCAATGCTGCGATTCCTCCAGATCCAATAGGATGCGCTTTATGACGGGCAAAATGTGCTTCCTGGTGGCCTGCACGTTATGCTGCATCAAGAAGCAGCCGCCCATGAAATTGGATTCGAACGCGTGTTGGCGCAAATCGAGTGAGGGCATCGCGCATGCCAGCAAGCCCTGGCGCACACGCTGGACAAGCTGGGTGTGCCCGGTTAGCGAGATTAGCGCCAGATCGCGCATCACATGGCCGCCCTTGAGCGGCGGCACATACATGCCCAAGAGGACAATAAGATTGGTGCCGCAGCCAAATTGTCGTATTGCGTCCTCGGCGTCGCTCAGCTCGATGAAGTCCCGCACTAGCATGGGCAGTCCGGCCATGGGCACCATATGGCGCGCAGTTTGCAGACACTTCATATCCTTGCGCAGGACCTCGAATAGAGTCAATTTACTAATGTCGGCACGGGCTGCCACTAGCTCATTGAAGATCTGGTCGCGCAAACGCTTTCGCACGCCATCATCCAAGGGCTCCTGCTGCTGCTGCTGCTCCAGCTGCTCGACCATGGCCAAATCACGGGCACAGAAACGCTTAGCAGTTGGCGAAAAGTTGATTGTATCGAGGACAATTGTCGCATGCAGCAGCTGAGTGACGATAGCGGAGCGCGGCTCCTGCTCAGCCAAATAGCGCTCGCCCACAAGTGTGGCACAAGAGCCCAACTCTGGCTCGATGTGGAGCACGCAGTGTGCCGGCAACTGATCCACTAATGGATGCTTCTCCATCGGTCGATGGTCGAGAATTTCACCGACATTCGCTGCCCAGCTGTTCACATGATGATCCACCAAAATGACATTGATGTCTGGGTTGTTCAACTTCTCTGGGAGATCGTCGCGAAAGACGAGCATTTGTTCATTGATTTCACACTTTTGGAACATGTGACCCACCTCCGTTTTGAGTGGGTAGTCGAGACGTGGTATATTCAACACGGGCACAAAGTCCTGATCCTTCTGCCTGGCTGCATAGATGAAGGCCAGCGTTAAAGCTGAGACAGCTGAATCCAAATCGCACGACTCATTGCCTATCACTAAATTCAGCTTACGCTGGTTCACTTCGGGTGTGGGCGTAGGCGTGGGCGTCTGCCGGGCTGCCGTCGAGGTGGCCGCCTTATCGGGTAGATACTGTAAATAGATATTTAAGTGAAAAGCAGTTAATTGCGTATATTGCAACGTTTCACTTACGCGGTTCAGCGTGGAACGCGTCTGCAACAGAAAGCGCAAGAGACACATTTGCCCAGACCTAGCAGAGCTCACACAATTTTCACATGAAATAAATAACAAACGGCTATGAAACTATGTGTGAAAAGCCACAGTTGTCACTAGATTAAATAGAGTACACACGATAGTCGCAAGCAACAAGTATCGATAATGACCAACGGTTGCAATGTGAGTGAGAGGGAGAGAGTGAAGCCTTTACCACCAAATCGGGAATGCAGGCGATAAATGCAAGCAACAAGTATCGATAGTATTTAACAGCTCGCTTTCGCGCCTTAAATTGAACGAATTGCTAGGCTACTGTATTATCGATTCCAACCATGAGCAACAGGTATCGATGAACTCTGACAATTACGTGCTGTAGTTTAAATGCAGTTCAACCATTCGCATGTCAACTACTTGTAAGCGATATTAGGAGGTGCTGTATTTACAAAGTTACGTTATGATATAAGAAATTAAGCATTTCAAATTAACATTATCCACATAAGAAGTTTCCTTGTGTAAGAAAAGCCATCATCTTTCATCAATCAGTCAACTCGTAATCTTTCAACTGAGGTGTTTATATGGTCTTCTTCGCACTAAAGTGTAATATATATTTCCTCTCATATAAGTTAACAATAAAAGATTCATCATAATTTTGGCGAGCGTGCTGAACAGTATTTTGAACAAATATTCCAACCGTTATGCAATGAATTTAACGGATGCGCAATTAAAAATATCGATACAAAAATATCGCTTAACAATTTTCAGTAGGCCAATACGTAATAATATAAATATTTAATTAAAATAAGAAGGCCTCATTATAAGTGCCAGTTCGAATGTTTTCAACAGTGAAAGTGCTCCACTTAAAAACAGGCGGCAAAAAAATATCGCAGTTCTCATTCGTCATGCCCATGACAATAGTATTATCTTTCAGTATGACGATTAACGTTTCTAATCGATAGCAAATTTCTAGCCATCCCTACTTTTCAATTAAACGGCATTTTTGTGCGCGTCACATTAGATATCCAAGTTGTTTTGCTATTTATAACAAATATTAGCCGAATTTTGTGATCCATAACAGGCGAATATACACGAGGACAATGGATACGCCGCGTCGCAAACTGCGCAACCTGCACATGGAGAATGTGCAAAACAATAGCACACCGATCCGAATACCACCATCACCGATGCTAAAAACACTTGGTCATGGCACCGGTGTTAGTGTATATCGCCTGGATAGGTCACCAAAGCTGGGCCACATACGTTCGCCTTGGGCCGTCAAACGAATCACACAACGTACCAGGGCCAAAAAGGATACGATATTCAATGACCGTATAATACACGAAGCAGCCATTTTGCGGTGAGTCCAACTCCTTGCAACGTTTTTTTTCTCTTCCGATGGCCTGATTGCACATATGCATATGTATTTTCCAACTAATGCTGTATACTACACATATACACGCTCACACACTCGCACGCATGTACACACACGTGGGCGAGCCGTTGGCTATATGCGTGTGTGTGTTTGCGAATGCATGCGTGTGCATATGCGTGTGTGGCTGCTGCGTCGCTCATGTGTGCGTGCATTTGGTGTACACAATTGCGGCCCCAAACCCGTACCCAGTAGGAAATTCAATGATGAACTCTTGCAATCCATCCTCTCTAAGACATGAGCATAAATTATGATAATCTGCTTATTGGCATGATCAATAAACTTTACATGTCTTCATTAAGATGACATGTCCTTGAGTGAGTCAACAGGCTAGTTGCAAATTAGACCTTCCTCTATGGTCTATATGTAAATACTTTGCAACTAGCCTGTTGACTATATTTTCTTTTGGCAATTGCTTTTAGCGGATTCTAGAGCATGTCTCTGTTTCTAAGCTCGTCTTGCAGCCAACAGAGACAACATCAAATTTCCAACTGGGTGTAACATATATCTATATACCTATACCTACCTATACATCTATATATATATATATATTTATATATAACATAAACTCATGTCATATGATTACACACAGCAAACTGAATCATCCAAATATCGTTGGGTTTCGTGGCGTCATTAAATCGTCGGAGGGCGTAGATGCACTGGCATTGGAAATGTGCAGCACATCGTTGGGCTCCATATTGGAGGAGCGTCACGATGAGGATCTCGGACCATTGCCCGCCAAACATACATTCAAAATGATCATGGATATTGCTCATGCACTTGACTTTCTGCACACAGAGGCGCGACTGCTGCACGGCGATCTAAAGTCCTTCAATGTCCTGGTCAAAGGAGAATTTGAGATCTGTAAACTATGTGATTTTGGTGTTAGCCTGCCCCTGGACGAGAATGGCGAGATTAACTTTCACAAGAATCCCCAGCTGCAATATGTGGGTAGGTGGCTGACTCGCTTAGATATATCTATCGTACAGTGTTTACTATTAATATATATATATATATTGTATTGCAGGCACGCAATTGTGGTCGCCACCTGAGATAATGGACGAGGTTGAGATTATTGATAGTAAAGCGGATATCTTTAGCTTTGGCCTGATCATCTATGAGACACTGGCTCTGGTGCCGCCGCACACCCTTGAGCTGGACGCCGCCTTCCATAGCAGCTCCATCATTGATTTGGACAACTCACAGGAGCAGCGCAGGCAATTAAACTATACGGATGAAGGAAATATGAGCGTCGTTGACGTAGACAGTAGCGTTAAGGATGTTAACGCTGCGGGCGATGCTGTTGTGGACGACGATGAGGATGATACCAAAGAGAATGACATTTCCGACTATTCGCTCAGTCATGTGGAGCAAGCATATGGCACGCGGCCACCGTTGCCAGTAGCATTTCAGCTGAGCGACGACTACAACTGTGTCGTCGAGCTGTTCTATTTGTGCACCAATGCCCACAGCGAGGATCGACCAGCAGCACGAACCATTTGGCAGTGCTTCGAGAACAATGCGGCCAATGTGACCGCAGCCAGTGATCCAGCCAGCGATTAAAATCTTATTTTTGTTTTATATCATTTTCATCTGGCTGCCAATTAGCAAACTCTAAATGTTAACTATTAAAAAACATAGTTTTATAAGCACTCTAACTGTAACTCTCTCTCTCTCTCTCTCTCTCTCTCTCTCTCACTCTCTCTCTCCCTCTATCTCTCTATGTGTTCCGGTCTATAGAGCTGAATCTTTTCATCTCGCCAACTCTGTCCCTCTCAAGTTGTCCCTCTATCTATATATCTAGATGTATAATCATTGCCTTTCTCGCTGGCTCGCCAAAAGCAGAGCAAAATGTTAACAATCAAAAAAACTTAGTTTTGTAAGCGCTTTGTTCTGTATGTAACTATTTTGCTTTCTTATTCCCTCTCTGTTTCTGTCGAGCTGCCTGACTATTCCTCTTTCTCTTATAACCCGTCTAACTGTTGGCTTCCTCTACGTTTGAATCCCTGCCCCCTCAACCCCTTTTCGTATACAAAACAAAATGATAACTATAAAGCTAAAAACTTGGTTTTGTAAGCGCGTCACCCATGTATGTAACTCCTCTTCCCTTCTCTTTCCCCTTCCTCCACCCACTTGCTGTAAAAATAATGCATAAACTGCAAAACATTATTGACAATGGCCAAAACAAAAAGAAAATAACCTGAATCTGTATTTACACACATTTCAGTTTAGATTTTAAGAGTCAACAGATACAAATATTCCATGTATTCCATTTACGCTATACGAAAAATAGCAAAAAAAAAAAACAAACAAACAAACAAAAAAAGAAGAGAATTAAAATAAACCAACGCTCGTTCATTTTTGTCCATAATTCGCAAATAAACAATTTAGAAATTATTTGGATTTTTGTGGTATGATTTAGCTAATATTGACAAATGTCCATAGAGAGTAATATATGTATATCAGCTAGGAGATGGAAGATGATAGCTAGAGAATAGAAAATGGAGGATTAAATATGGATGATGAAAGATAGAGGATACGGAACATGGAAGATGGAAGATAGAAGACCAAATAGACTCCCATACGTTTTGCCATTTGTTGTCCTAGTCACCATAGGCTTTAGGACTACAAATGCGTATTGAAATTTATAGAAATGATTCTCTTAACATACTTATGTTTACAATGCAATTGTATTTCTATGCCAATCGAACTATTCCATCGATTCTAACCTCAAAATTTGTATAATTTCGAGATTAGTTGATGAGTAAAACTTCGGACTTGCTAGATAAGACAACTGTATTCAGCTAGCCATGTTTATAAAATGAATTATTTGCCAATATGTTATTTTTTGCCAACTATTGCTTCATTCGCAAACTAAAATTTGTGTGAGTTTTGAGGTTAGTTTTTCAAGCTACTCAAAAATTAATCAATTTTCATATACATAAATTCGCTTCTTAAACTTAGAAAGAAAACAACAAATTTGTTAAGTTTTTTAGTGCACTGAGAAGTTCACCTAAGATTTATTCAAAATACATTCACAATAATATGACGTGTTGTCTTTTGCTTATGTTTCTGTCAGTGTATATAGCTATACATAGACTATATAGCTGTTCGATTTATGTTTAGTTAGTGGTATATGCATTACTCGTTTATTGTTATCGTTTTAGCCGCTTCGCTTATTATATATAGAGCGTGTACTTTAGTTTCTGTAAACTGTGTAACACTAAGCTTTAGCCGATTTGTCTCTGTGTTGGTGTATATATATCTAAAATATGTCTTTCATATGTTTCTTCTTCTAGTTTTCCTTTAATTGTTAACTTGATTCTTGAATTCGACTACAATAGAAATGTGTATAAAAAGTTCTATATATATGTATATAGTCTAGCTCATATCGTTTATATATATTGTATAAAACGTTATGCGTTGCTATATTGTTGTTGTTTTTTAAAGGCGCTGTTGGTGTTTCTCTTTCTTTCTAGCTTTCTAAAATTCAAACAGAAAAAACATTTTAAAAGCAAATTACAAAAAAATAAAAGTAATATAAAATAAAATAAAATAATTTATGTAAATATATATATATACTTTTTCAATTAAGTTTGCAAAAACAGATTTAAAAAAAATAATAATAATTTTTAGACAGGACGAACAAACATTTCTTTTTCTCTTTTTTTTGCTTAAGTTTTTAAGTAGTAAGTACATGTGTGTGTGTGTGTGTGTTTGTGTGTGGGTGTACATATATGGAATGCAATGTTTCGAGCTTGTGGGCGTAGCTAATTGGAAGATTCTTCGCCCTCTCTCTCTCTCTGTCTATCTCACTTTAACTAGTGTAACACATCTCATATCGATATATATAAATATATATATATATGTTTGTATATATGTTTAACAAGGACATTAATGCTTATGAAAAATATGAATTAAAAATAAACAAATGTCTGTGCACAACAAATTTGGAAATGGAAACGTTAGACGAAATGTGGAATGTGTGTTTGTGTGTGTTGCATATGTAACATATATATTAAACATGTGTGTGTGTGTGTTTGTTTGTATGTGTGTGTTTTGTCTTTTTTATCATTTGATCATGTGATTTGCATCTTCTCGCAGCTGTATTACAAATGCAGAACTCCATCCTTGACATCGCTGGCCATAATTGTGGATGCATTCGAGGCAGCTTGTTTATGATGCATGGACGGCGACGAGGACACTGGTTGACTGTTGCTGTTGTTGGTGTTTACTGTAACACCTCCTGCTGATGTTGCTGCAGCTCCTCCCCCGTTGCCACCGATGGGACTCTCGTCGAGCGTTACACCAGTTAGATCAACAATATCATCCTGATCATCGTGCTCCAGCTCGTCGGATGTATTGGTATGATTTGTATGATGTGAACCGCTTGATAGCTGACTATTTCTTGAAAAGGAGCCACGGTGTGTCGAGGTCAGAGTGCGCTGATTGGCTGGCTTCACAGTGATGATCAAATTTGAGCTATTGGCTACCATCATATCGGTTACCTATGGCAAAAAAATTAGTTAGGGAACGATATAAAGGCTATCTACGATTTGTAGTGCTTACCTGATCCAGCGTCTTGCCTGCCACCTCAATGCCATTGACCTCGATGACTTCGTCGTTGACAGCGAGTAAGCCAGTGCTCTCAGCCAATCCACCAGGCACTAGACGTGAGATAAAGATGCCCGGCTGCTTCTCCAATCCGTTGGCCGTCACACGCACCGAAGTGCCATCGCGTATATAAAAGCCAAGCGGCTTGTCGCTGCCATGCTTGAGCAGGCGGACACGTCGATGCGTCTCTGGTACAATGTCCACATCAATGATGGCCGACACTTGGCGGAAATCGTGCGGTATGGATATGGATGGTGCTTTGGTCTTAACGGGCGTATGGCCAAGTATGCTGCCAATTAAATTGCGCGGCTTCATCGTGCCAAAGCCTGAATACTCGTTCAAATCATCTGTGAAAAAGAACGCACGCATATATAAATATATAAATGTATATATAGAAATATATAAATATATATATATTAATCATAGATTGTACCTTTACGCTGCACTATGACGCGTAGCAGTGGTCGCGCCGTTTTCAGGGCACGCCCAAAGTTGTCATCGTTGTTGATGGGCAACAGATCGTTGTCGCACGGATCAATGTAGAGTATTAGAAATTGTATATTGGTCAATTTGTGCAGCTGTTCGATCAGCGAGGAGAACTTATCGAAGCTTTGTTCCGGCTCGTGACGTTTAAAGCTCCAGCGTCGGAACTCCGCATCGAACTAAAAAAAAGTAGACGTTATGTAAATTGTTTCGTTTACCTGAGAGGAAACAATTAATTGCCTGGTTTGCTAGATGAACTTGTCGACATCGTGTTCATCAGCAACAGGCTGGCAACTCTGCTCAATTGTTGCAGCACACAAGCATAAACAGGCAAAACCAACAACAAACTGATATATAAAGCAAACGGTTAAATTCCTTGAACTTCACGAAATATCATATATCAGCTGGCAATGCCACCCAACTGTTGATGCACACACAAGCAGGCAACAACAACTACCACTCGCTTCTACTGTCAATTCCAGCAGGCATGAATCAGCAGTGCCGCAGCCGTCGATTCCACTACCTCTCATAATGATCCAAACAAATTGATCCCAAAAAATTTACTGCATTTGTATCTACATGGAGAAATGGTCCGTTAGCTCACCTTTGATTTCACTTCAATTAGATTGGTATCAGCGTTTGCTGCCATCGCTGCAGTTGTGTTTATTTTATTCTTCGACATTTTTGCTTTTTATATATATTTTCTTTGCCCACTTCCAATTGCACACACACAATTTTTACAGCAACAACACTAACGCACAGGTGCTGTAGTGCGTGTTCATTCAAGTTGCCGTCGCGGCGACAGCCAAACTTGTTGGTGCCCAGTTAAGTTAAAAACAAATTGTATAATAAATTATAATTCGAAAAGATTCTAAACTAAAACTAAATTATGCGTTGGCGTTTGTGTAAAAAAAACATCGAGACATCGCGATTATTCTTGCAGCGATCACCAATACAGTTGTTGCATACATGTATATCGATATATTTGACAATACATTATTTAATCGTCCTTTATTTTGCCGTATTTGCTTCGAGCATATTTGGGAAACAATGTAAATATTATCGCTAACCAATGTTTCTTATATGCACGCTTTGAACATAGTAAAAATAAGAAAACGCGTTGAATTTGTACGAAATATCAAACTTATCGATAATTATCTCATTTTGAAAAATACTAAACAGCTAGATATGGCATCACCAATTACACAATTGCATTAAATTAAATATAAACAAAAACCAATAAAAATATCTTATTTTGCCGCCTAATCGATGCACATTCTGAAAATAATGTATGTAGAATTTTAGTTTTTATTATTTTTATTTAGTTACATTGAATTCCCACAAAATACTTTAGGAATTTGCTGCGGGACTGTCCAATTCGATAAACACGAGCGAGACAACACTAGTGCATGCGCATGAAAGGAGTATAGATAGCTGTTTAATGGTACAGACCGTAGAGACATATGCATACGCTGCATATAAGCAAAGGTAACAATTAACAACAATACAATACAAAATTGAATAATCAAGTGAGCTTATTTGTTGCTAATCAAGCAAATTTAAATTGTCATAATAAATAATATATATGTGTTTGAGCCGGCCAAATAGAGGTGAGCGACATGCATGTACTGAGCATTGAGGAAGAATCTAAATAGCCGACAGTGGAGCGCATACCATACGACGAGGGTTTCTGTAAATGGAGGCTGTTCTTGTGTGTGTGTTTTGTTGTTGAGCGTGTAGAAGTGTGCAATTGAGTAGAAATTGTGTGTGCGCTTCATTTATTTCTTTTTGTTGTGTTTTTTAAATGTTTCGAAAAGCCAATAGTCAAATAGGAAAACAAATCGATTACAAACAACAACGAACAGCAAGCAAACGGGCGCAAATTGGAAAAACAGCAGCGAAAACGAAAACGAAAACAGAGCCAAAAACGTTTTCTCTCTACTCACGAGACGCCAGTGAAAAAAATACAGTTAGCATAGCTAACTTAAGCAACGCTTCCAGCCAGGACAGTTGGAAAGCAGCGGATTATTAAGCAAACCTTGAGACGCACGCACACACTCATAGAAACGCAGACACACACATACACACATACGTACGCACACGCATCCAAGCAGACGCAGAAATGAGTTCGGTAATGTAAACAAATGAATAAAAACAATATATATATATATATTTATTTATATTTTGTTGTTTCGTTTGGGTTTTTAGCAATATTCGAACGTCGAGAATCTGTCGCCGCAGACCATACGGCAGGTTATGAAGGAGCTGCAGGACATGGAAACAACACCACCAGAGGGCATCAAAGTCCTAATCAATGAGAGCGATGTTACCGATATACAGGCATTGATCGATGGACCGGCTGGAACACCGTATGCCGTTGGCATCTTTCGCGTTAAGCTGACGTTGAGCAAAGATTTTCCACAAACGCCGCCAAAGGCATATTTCTTAACCAAAATTTTCCATCCAAATGTTGCGGCCAACGGCGAAATCTGTGTGAACACATTGAAAAAGGACTGGAAGCCAGATCTGGGCATTAAGCATATATTGTTAACCATCAAATGTTTGCTAATCGTGCCCAATCCCGAATCGGCGCTCAACGAGGAGGCTGGAAAAATGCTGCTCGAACGCTACGACGATTATTCTCAGCGAGCGCGAATGATGACGGAAATACATGCACAGGTGCTACCGACTAGACTTAAGGACTTGCCTTCTTTTCGCTTCTTTTCCTTTTTTTTACATTTAAGTATATCTATGCTATGATATTAATGTATTTACGTTTTGCTTTCAGCCCGTGAAGTGCGGCGTTAGCGATGCCAAAGATGATGATGGTCCATCGAATAAGAAACATGCAGGTCTGGATAAGAAGCTGCAAGATAAAAAGAAGGAGAAGCTGCTCAAGGAGAAAAAACGCATGCTCAAGAGATTATGAGAAGCATAAACAATATATATATATATGCATATGTAGATACATATATATTTATATAGATGTATATATATATAAATATAAATAAATATATATATATATATATATATATATATATATATATATATAAATATAAATATATATATATATATATATATATATATATATATATATATATATATGTATCTATGTATATATACATATACATATATTACCAAACAGTTACACATATATGTATCTATATATATAGTCGCGCAACAACAACAGCCAACTATATATGTATATATATATATATCTATGAAGCCAGCAGCAGGCATAAATCTACAGTGAACTATAGCAAAAGCAAAACAACTGAAGATAACTTAAAAAATATGCAAAAATTTGGCAAATTCTTAAAGCTGAAGCGGAAACAACAAAAAACCAACTCCAAAGAAAAGTGCATCCAGTTAAATATATAAAACAAAACATTATAAATATAATATATATATATATAAAACAAAACAAAACAAAATGAAAACTTAAATTTAATATATAAAACAAAAAGAATTCAGATATAATGCGAGCAAAAAAAGGAGAGAATATTTTGTTCAACGTCTGTTCGGAGAAAAAACTGAGCTGATTTTTAGTTTGTAGTAACAAAAAAGTAAAAGAAAAACAAAATATGTATATCTATATATATTCTAATTTACTGCGATCCTTGCTACACACACACCACATAAATATATATATATATATATATATATATATATATTCATATATATAAAACAACGCTTTGTGCGCTAGTTTTAGCTTAACTTATAATATCTATGTAAATTAGCTTAAAACACATCTCACACACACGCACACACCTGCAAAGAGCGTAAGAGCGAGACAGAGAGAGAGAGAGAGTCAAACAACATTCACATAAAAATTACACTTACAAATCAGCTCGTTTAGCACACATGCACAATTATTTGCTACAGTCATTCACACAGACACACACACACGCGCACATAATTATTTATAGTGTTTTTGTTTTTAATTAGATTTAGCGCAGTTAACAATTTTTTTTTAATTTTTAAATACTTTAAAATATTTAATTTCTTTATTTTGTCTTTCAACATTCGCGCGTTTCCAACTAAAATAAACAAAAGAAACAACTACACACAATTGTCCTTAGCGTAAGCAATATAAATATAAATATATATAAATATATATATATATAAACTTTGCTAAACATAATTTAAGTTCGCAAGTTTTCCACAATTTTTTCAAAATTTTCAATTAGATTTATTTTTTAATCTATTTTGGGCACTGCGCCCAAAAAATCTTTTTTTAAATTATGTACTTAAAAAACAGAGAAAAATATGCAAAAATTGATTTAAAAAAAAGAAATTAACTAAAATTAATATTAAAGTTAAAATTATGTGCCCTTCGAAAGATAATACCGTAAAAAAGTAAAAAATTCTTTACAAAAAAAAACAAGATTAAATTTAAAACTAAAATGCAATCTTTCAATTCAATTAACTCAGTAGTTCAAAGCCCGCAATGATAAGTAAGAAAAAAAAAAACAAAAAAAAGAATAGAAATTGAACATAAAAAATTTCGTTAAATTTTGAAGACACTGAAAAAAATGGCAAAAATTTATGATAAATAAAAAATGACATTTGAGAGCAAATTGTGCAGAACTTGGGAAAAACAGAAAATATATATTAAAAATTTATTTTGAAAGATTTAGATTTAGAGTAAAGTTTTTGCTAAAGTATTTAAAAAAAAACATTTTTTTGAAGTTTTTCTTCTGAATATGTGTAATTGAGTTATCCTTAAGTGCGTTCGCTTTAGCTAGCTTGCACTGTAAGCAGTCATATATAGATATAAATTATCTGGCAACGCTTGCCTAGTCGCTGCACGTTCCAATTGTCTTTTGCAAACCGGAAGAGTTTTTTTTTTTTTTTTTTTTTTTTTTTTTAGGCAATATATTTATTTCTTTATTTTGTTGCAGCTTATTGTCTTAGACTCTATAGCGCATTTAGCTCTAAACCTTAACTAATGGGAGGGCAGATATGCCAATTATTCTGCACTTGTAGCTACTATCTTAATTAGTTCTAATATTGTCTAGAGGATGCAATCTCTTCAGTCTTCGCCTATTGTTGTTTATAGCCAGGTTGCTTGCGAGATGGTTAGGATGCGCTGCAAGTCTGTCCGCGTATCTTGAACTGTGTCGCCCAATGAGTTCAGCAACTGTGGGAATTGCTAAATCCCTATGTAAGACTGAGTTTCTTACAAACCAGCTGGCTCCAGTCCATCTGCGTAGTGCTTTATTCTGCAGGGTCTGAATTTTGTTCCTTGTAGTCTTCGCCGAGGAGCCCCATAGAGAGATACCATATACGAAGGTTGGGACAACTATTGCCTTGTAGATGGCGGCCTTGCTGCTGTAAGACAACTTGCTTGAAGCTCTCAGCATCCAGTCGAGGGTTTTTAGCTTGCTTTTGCATTTTGAGGTTACTTGACTTATGTGCGCTTTAAAAGTCAGCCTTCTGTCAAGAGTGATACCAAGGTACTTTACTTTTGAGGCTTTGGGAATAGTGGGCCCCAATGCAACGCTTGGGCAATCTCCTCTTCTAGTGGCGAAGGTAGTATGTACAGACTTTTGTGCATTAATGGTGATACACCACCGTTTTGCCCAGCGTCCGAAAGAGTCCAGATATTTTTGTAGTGAGTCTGAAGCTTCTTGCGCAGATACGTGACGTGATAAGATGGCGGTGTCATCTGCATAGGTCGCTATGAGTACTGCATCTGTACTTCCTATATTTGGCTCGGGAGTTGGCATATCTCCTGTGAATAAAGTATAAAGTGTTGGGCCTAGAACACTACCCTGTGGTACTCCAGCCATAATTGGTCTAGTCAAGGATACTGTTTGCCCCCTTGACACTTGGAAGGTTCTTCCAATAAGGTATGAGGATAGCAACGCGAAAAATGGGGCTGGAAGGGTGGTCCTCACTTTCTGCAGCAGTCCCAGGTGCCAAAC